GCTTGGGAAGAACCCTGTTGTCTTGTTGCCTGACTAGCATGCCTTGCATCATCATAACTTTCTGCACCAGATGTTTCCTTGGTCCCCAACTGACATGTTTACTGCTGTAGCATCTCACATGTTAATATCAATGTCATAATGAATGAGGTTCTTTTTCAGGACATCGCAGGAGCATTTATTTCCCTCCTCTTGATCCTTCACCAATTAAAAGTTCACTCTCTCTGCATTTGCCTGGGGAACCTGGTGCCTTCCAAAAGGAGGACATGCCCAGTCCTGCAAATCTTCATAATTGTCACTATGTCAAAAATGTAGCAAGGGACAGCTCATAAGCCAGAGAAATGGGGACTGCCTGGGGAATCTACCAATACCTTATTAGGGCATGCACTCATGGTGTTTGTGTGCACAATTGTAGTAGGTGCCTAATTGCACACACAAGTGGCTCTGTGTGTGATAATTAGGTGGACCCTAGGTGTCCTTGCATTGCAAACAGTACCACACTTGTAAAGGCCTCTTTCAGAAGGGTAATCTGCATGGTACTCTGTGTGTGATTTGGGAGTTGAGAGAATCCTGCTGAGAAGTGAACATATTGTTCCATAGTGTCTATAGGCTTTTAAAAACTGATTCTCAGACCACTAACCCAAATGAGTCAAATAAATCTGCTGTTGCCCAGAGTGCTGCTTCCCAGCTCCACCTCCTGCTGTTGCACCCTCTGTTGCTTCTTGTTCCCTTAAAGGAACAGCACCTCAGAGGCTGCTTTGTCCCTTCCTTCCCTCCCCAAACCTGGGAAACAGCAGTGCTCTGCTCTCTTACTCTCATCTACCTTCTTGTGAGGCTACTCTGCTGTCTGCGCCCTCCCTGAATCCTTTCTGAAAACCAGCTCCTGGACTTCAGCTGCAAGCTTCCCAAGCAGTTAAAGGAGCGGAACTGCACAGAGTAAGGAGAAGCCAGCTTGTGGCCCCCTTGCAGTCATAGCCTCTGGAAGTGGGGAACAGACAGTGAGGAGGCTGGCAGCTGCTGCGATCCCAGGATATTGGCTAGGATTCCAGTTCCCTGTGCTGTTTTCAGCATTGGCTGCGTTTTTATAACTATTGTTTCAGTGCCGGATTTGCAGTTGCTTTGCAGAACCTCTCATGTATGATTTGTTTGCATCTCTTCATATGCATAATAGGTCAAGGGTGCCACTGTTCTTTGTGTTGGTGCTATCATGTCCAGGTTCCATAGCAATAGACTGATGTGGAAATCACTATAGCATGGCCTTTGGCTGTAGTCTGCTACCATACCACACTTGTTACATCTGATCTCACTTTGTTTAACTTTGAACCCACTTGATCGCTGTATGTGTGGTGTCAAATGTTTGACCCAAGCACTGCGAAATGTGTTTTCCTCTTAAGAGAGTTGAGGGTGGGAGGGGGGAGGGGGAGAAGCATGACAAACAAATACAAAGAGACTGTGCAAAAAGACTCAGAGGGGTAAAGAAAAGATGCTCATGAAAAAATAAATACAGTGCACAGCAGGCACTCATGCCATCCACATTTTAGGGGGACTCTTCTACAGAGCAGAGGGTTTCTTTTAGCTAGAAAAACACTTTTTTTAAAGAATGACATGGCTCTTGAGAAAAATAAGGTGTTAAAAGGGAAAGCAGTTAATGAACCCATATTAATTTTGCAAAACTTTTTGAAATCTACATGGGTTTCCCATCCCTACAGTCAAGTTCTTTAGCCAAAATGAGGTTACAGGGGGTAAGTCAGTGCAGCTGAATTGCTGGCAGCACTGGAGGGAACCGTTTTTAACTAACCTTCTATAGTGTAGACGAGGTTTTAGGGAGTGGTGGTGTCTACATGTCTTGAATGGAAGGCTTTGTTCATATGGAATAGTACCTTCCCCCATGAATAATTCCGTTGATGTCAATAGGATTATTTGTGGAGTAAGGCACTATTCAGTGAGAGGAAGGGGCTCCGAAAGTAGTCCAGAGTTTGGATAAAGGTTGTCTGAATCATTGCAGCAAGGCACTCTGGGACTTTAGGGCCAGATTCTGCCCTCTTACTCATTAGTGGAACTACTCTTGGATGAATGTGGCAGAGTCTGAGCCTTAGTAAATATAAATATGCACACCTTGTGCAGAAACTATACCCCTATGTAGGATGACTACATGTCCCAAAATTCAGGGCTTTGTCTTATATAGGCGCCTATTACCTCCCCACCCCCTGCTGATTTTTCACACTTGCTGTCTGGTCACCCTAACTGTAGGTGAATCAGTTGAACTGATTAGCCCCTTTGTGAGGCAACATGACTGAAAGGTCATCAGATACCCTGTTTATCTAGGGTCAGTGTGAGAGTGAAGCCTGATCCTGTTTGCTGTACATTATTCTTATTTTCCTATTTGATTCTCCTTAAATAACTTTTGTTGCCATAAGAGCAACAGGTCCCTCCATACACTCAAGCCCTCAAGCCTTAGCCTCATTATTAGTAGCTTTTCATACCTCTTCATAAAGCAAGGTAAGTAGCTTCCCCTGTTCTGGGCTGCTTAACGTAGCTAAATATAGACTTTTCAAAGCACCACTTTAGAGCCTAATCCATACCTTTACTAAGCTTGACAAGTTGAAAGCAGTGGCATAAGCAGCTGATGCAGCTTCTTGGAGATATGAATCCTACAATTTTGTTTTACTTATGCTCATTTATGAGGTTTGTTTAAATTCTCTGATGGCTAATCTGGCATTTTTCTGCCTGCCCAAATAAATTTGTTAGTCTCCAAAGTGCCACAGGGACTCCTCGTTTTTTTTTTGTAAAATCCTTGACCCTAATGACCTGGATTGTTGTGATAATTTTCCTGTCCTTAATTTTTTTCTGTAGGTTTCCAAGTGAACAATTTAGAGAGAGAGTTTCTTTTGTATTTGTTGAAGCATTAGAGCAATGCCAACAGCTACAGCCATATCTATATTTTTGCACAGGAGTCAAAAAATTTTTATCGCCATACCGACCAGATAATGCTAGCAATACAACTCAGCGACTGGACCTTCAAAAAAATGGGTTAATGTGGTAGAACTTGTTTTGCACGGATCCACTTCTCCTCTCCCTTACACTATTATAACTTTTAGCATTCACATTATTTAGGGTTCTTTCAGGAGAAAAGCATGTTTTGTATTATTTTGGTTGCAGGGCTTAGATGAACATATACAGTTCAACTCCGAATGAGCCTGGGGTACTGTCCACATAGCGAGTCACATTTTGTTAGTGCAAATGTTGAAAAACAGTCAAGAAGATTTCTGGCAGAAATTGGGACAGTGTTTTTTGAGATGGTAGTCAATAACCATACTAGAGGAAGCCATGCTATAGACCACCTCCTGGTGTGGATGTTTTTAATGTGGTGGTCACAGGGTTTGTAATCATGTTAGATATAGATGCGAGTTGTGTTAAACTGGGTTTCAAAAATGGTTTCAGGCACACTTTTGCAAACACTAGTGTGGTCAGGGCTTTAGTGCATTTCAGGAGTCAAATATTTCTCCATCCATGTTTTAGTAAAACTCTCCACCTTCCCCAGATATTACAAGGAGATGGCCCATGCTGGTACTGCTGTAGTTGAGTGACTTGGGAGAGCATAATTTTATTGGCAGAAGTGGCGCTGTGACAAACCCCTATTGCCTGTCTCTGTGAAAGTGAAGTTCACTCATTTTTATAGTGGGGGAATGCACTCAGCTTTACCAATAGTCAGTTAAAGATTGTGGATCAGATTCTGACCCACAATATGTCCCCTTTGCACGCTGGAGCTCTACAGCTGAGGAGTTTCCTGGATCTAGCCCATCCTCCTTCCTCTGGCATAGGGGACATACCCCGCAGAAGGGTTACAGTTAGGGCACTCTGGCAATCCCTGGCTAGCGTAACAGCCCTTTGAAGCTGTTGTAACTAGTGTACGTTAGAGCAATCCTGAGATTGTCTAATTTATGTTGGGGCCTGAACTAGTCCCTGGCAGCCCAGGGGATCAAGGCAAAGATGGTATAGATCTACCTTTTTCTCTCCCCCAGCCTTGGGTCCTGAGCGCAGCTTCTGTGGAAGAAGGAATGGGGGGCTGTATCCTTAGGATTCCAGCCTGATTCATGGAGGACTGAAGTTCTCTTTTCTGTGCTTCAGATTTGCCTTACATAGTCTGGGCTGTTTTAGGCAGAACAAGCATGAAAAAAATCCTGTTTGCCTTTGCTCCTTGTGGAGTTTGATTATTTGTCTGGCTGCTCTCCACTTTGACTGTACAACAACTTCTTATCTCGGGTACTTCATTCCTTCGTAATGTACTTTTGTTTTCCTCCTAGTGCTCTGGTTTGCCATTGAATTGCATTCACACAGCGTGCCCGCAGGCTGCACTGTATTGTTACATATGTTGTGACATCCAAAATAATCTCAGTGGGTGTTCCGAGCAGCTGCCACAATACAACCTATTTTGGCAGCCAAAAGTGCAGTGAGCTTTGTGTGTCACCCTTTCCTTCTCTTCTTCATGACATTGTAACAGAGATGGAATCTACTTATGTTGTGCATGTTGTATATTATTGTGTCCCTATCACTTGCCAGCATTGCCATACTGTCTAACAACTGTCCGTAGGTATTTTGCAAAAGGGTTTGTGTTTTGTTTATTGCCTTTGGGGTGGATTGAATTTCCAGAACTGTGTGTAGATGGGAATATTATTTTGTCCCAGCCAGCTAAAGTGGTCTTTGTGAATGGAGCAAAGAAATTTTAGTCAGAGTCTCTACCACTCTGTAAGGGAGGCCCATATTGAACTGGCACACAAGTGTCTGGGAGACACCTCTTTCAGCACTCACCCAGTCGTGTAGGCTGCAGTGGCATTTGACCTGACATTATGCAAACAAAAGGGGTTCATCACATTTTTCCTTGATATACCCTTAATGATTAACATGGCTGCATATTAATTGCAAAGTAAAATTTTTGATCACTTTGTGTATTTGCACCTTTAGAGCCAGACTGAGGATGGTCTATTTTTTTTTTAATATTCCAGTTGTGTTGGCGTAGAAGAAGAGGAGGCACCAGATATTGATATCTATCATTGTCCGAACTGTGAGAAAACCCATGGAAAGTCTACTTGTAAGTATACATGCTTGATTCCTGTGCCATCTCAAGTTTAAGCAATGGCTAGTTTCTCAATTTTTGGTTATAAAAAGATATATTTTAATTTAAGTGTGTTTCTTACTTTTATATATGGCAGTCCTGCTACAGTGGGATTCAAAACACAGTAAGGGTAACAAAGATGGGGCACTTGGACTGGGACTAGGGAGATGTGAATTCATTTCCTTGCTTAGCCTAGCCCAGTCATTGTATGTAATCTAGGGCAAATCATTCCATCTACCCTGTGCTCAGTCCCACATCTGTAAAATGAAGATAACACTTCCCTACCTCACCGAGGTGTTGAGGATAAAATCCATTAATGAGGCACTTAGGTACAGGCTGTAATCGTTCCTGGATAGGTAGATAGATCTGATGCAGTCACTTATAGTAATTATACTATGGCTTTTGTCGTCTGATAACAAGAATAAAAAACATTGTATTATGTCTGGCATGCACATGTGGGTTAAATGGCAATTTGGGTTAAAATTTTAGGGTACATTGGGGGAGCTGGTTCTTTCTCAGGCAAAACTCCCACCTGTATGAAAAGATTGCTGATGTGAGTGCGGGTTTTACCTAATAAAGAACTGCAGGGTGTTTTTGCTTTGATCAAATGAATTAAAGAATTCTGTTTACTATACAAGAATATCCTTTCCCCAATCATTGTGAAAAACTAAATGCTTAATTTAAAAGCATTTTATTATAAATATGCTACCAATTGGCAGAGATTGTCGCTGTTATGAAACAAACAATTAAGACCACGTAGAGGAAAAATATTACCCTAATTTTCCTCTAGGTGGGTTTGAAAGCATCACCCTGCCTATTTTTCAAATTTGTAGTGACATACATACATCAGGAATAGGTCAAACAAATAACTACAAGTCATCCTCAGAATGAATCATTTAGCAATAAAATGGCTTGTCTGGAAAAGAAGTGGTATGACTGAAGATTCGCAGAGTCAATCATTGCCTCAATGTGGGAGATAAAGCATGATTTTTCTAGATTCCGAGTGAAATTCTTGGGTTATGTTAAAATCTATTTGATGCTTTTCTTGCTTCCATTTGGCTGTAAATTATGAATGACGGAAGACACCTAGTCTTCAATGTGGAAAAAAAATCAGACAGAAGAAGCATAAGTTTGTAGTCAGGAATTAAATTTTAATTACATAAGAAAACATGGGTGTGTAATCTTAGAATTCAACCACTGGCTGCTTCAGTAAGAAGATATACAAGAGTAATATACCAATTATGACAAGTAGAGCTGAAATAACAGCTAACTTCTAATTCTTGGCTTTCCATTCCTTAACAAAATCTGCCTTTGGCAAAATGTCTCCCACAGTCAGTATTGCACAATATGGTAGATATAAAGGTGCTGTATCAAAAACACTGCGACTGCAACAGTCTTGTAAACATATGTGGTTGCAGCTGTGGCAGAAGTAGAGTGTCATAATACAACAACAACGCAATGAGGGTGTTTTTCACTGTTTTATCTAAGATACCGTATCATGACATCACAAAATCAGTCATTAGAGTGGAATAGTGTAAAGACCTGCAACGTTAGTACTGAAATCTTAGTTTATTGCTGGAATATCACAAACTGATTTGCTTGATCTGTATGTTTATAGGTTCTCAAAATGAACAGCAATTTTCAAGACCATTTAAAAAAAAACCCAATTATGTAGGTTCTTATAGCCATAAAATAAAAGGGGTATAAGTCACGCTGCAAAAATGAAATGTCAGCGTGTGATCCTTCCACCATTTCATGTGGTGTGTGTAACTGCAACAGACTGGAAAAATTAGGGACCAGTCTTGAAGTGGAAGCAGGAACAGGCCCTATGTTAAGTTATTCTGTCATACAGTTGTGTGCAGCGTGTTCCCGGACTTGTATGAGATTATGAATTTCATTTGTGGTTAACTGTTACAATCAATGTTCCCTCTAATTTTTGACAGGCCATGTGTGCAAAAAAATTCTTCTCTGCAAATTGTTATGCTTCTGTGCAAATTTTTGTGCGCACGGTGTTTTGCCATGTGCACGGGGTTTAGCATCTGTGTGTGTGCGCACAGCTTAGAGGGAACAGTGGTTACAATATATGTGTAAACTAGCTGGGTTATTTTGCAGTATCAATTTTGTATTAAATGAGTAGGTGTTTTTCCAGATATGATATTTCACTGCCAAGAATTAATTATTGCAAGGCTCGCAAAGAGAAGCACATATTCACTAATTGTCTCTGTTATGTAACTTGCATGGATTTTAAATATATTTATACTTCTGGTGAATGCGTTCCATGATGTATGCTCTCCAGATGTCAAATTTAAAAATCATTTTCCTTTTCTTACATTATCCTCTTTAGCAATGTCACTTGGTGACTACTATTTCCGAAAATTGCTTGTGACATTTAAAGTCATTTTGATTTAATGAAATTTGGCGATACTTCTGTTTGGAGAAAAAAAATATACATGTTCACAAATACATTTCTGATGTTATTTAAATTTAAGTGCTCTATTTAGATAAACTTAGTTCATTTTCATAACACCAGGGAAAACATTTGGCCTGATTTCCTTCACACCCGTGAAAATCAGGAGAAATTCCATTGAAATCAATGAAGTTACAGTGATATAAATAAAAGGGGAATCAGGCTCAAATGTTTGAAATAGTGTCAATTAAAAGATAACAAAATGAGCTTATAGATGTCCTTTGGTTCTAAATACATTTATGTACGTTTAAGTATACATCTGAATTCATGTGGTATATTCAGCTTGAGACAGAAGTTGGAGAATATAGTTATTAGAGCTGGTTGAAAAATCTGATATCTTCATGACAATTTTTTTCACAAAGTTTTCTCAAAAAAAAAAAAAAAAAGCTTTTGCCAGCCAACTTTTAGTGTTATGGAAATTTTTAGTAAATTCAAAATTTTGATGGACAAGTTTTGCAAAAATATTTCTGCATTCTTTGCTAAAACCCCCCACAACTCTGCATTTTTTTTTGGCCAGCTCTGGGAGTTGTTTATCATTTTAAATTATATATTACATTTCTGCTGTAGTTGTTCCCAGAGGCCCAAATCAAATATTCCTCACTGTGGTACGCATTCTACAAACATGTAGTAAAGAAATTGGCTGATACTGGTTGTGTAATCCCTGATAGAATGCTGTACTACATGATGCAGCCTCTAAGAGGGAGATTTCAAATGGGAATTAGGAATCTATAGATTTTTCAATAGGAAAAATGCCCTTTGTGAAAATATCGCCCTAAATTGCAATGTTATTTGAGTGTGCTGATTGAAAAGAGTTGCAACGAGTATTTATTATAATCTACAGCTTCTTGACTTTGTCTAGATATGTAGGCAATTTTGAGGAAAAATAAAAGAAGGGGTATGATAGAATCCTTTTAATGACCTGCCTGGTTAGCTGGGCCAGTTGATATGGAACAGAACCAGGATGTGGGGAGATGGGTGGGGGTCATGGGAAGGGAAAGTGGGAGGGAGGGAGTGGTGTACATATTGAGGTTGATTCCTATGTTACTGGGAGTATTGAACTAATACACTAAGCCTGAGGGCCATTAAGATAAAGAACTAGCAGCTTTAATGACTATATCCAGCTAGGCTGGAAAGCAGCATGGAACTAATAAAACCAGCGTGTGTTGTAAAAACCTGGGAAGGATTCTTTGGTAGATGTCTCTACTTCCAAAGTCCTGGCCACCCTACAGAGGTGACTTTTCCAGGTCTCAGGATGTTATAGTTTGGGCCTCCCAGCTCCTTTGGTAGTCAAAGAGTAAGTGTGGGGGGAGGGGGAGGGCTGTGGAAGGGCACATGTCCAGTCATGGTGATAGAAGTAGGTGGCTTTCTTCCACAAAACTAGTTTGAACATAAGAAAAGTTTGGGTTTGCTTTGAGGTTTTGTGGAGTCTCAGGTTTCATATTTTATCCTAACCAGCTTGCCCACCTTTAGGTACAATATGAACCCAGGGTACAAAAAGAAAGTGAAAACTCTGAGGGCAGAAAGGTTAAAATAAGGGGAGACTGCATTTCTGATGTCAGTAATTTCCTACCGCAATAAACACCCCATGTCAGTCTAAAAGCAGGAGCAGCTGAGAGATTTAATGCTGATAATTGGTAAAAACTGGAATGGTTCTTCTTGGCCAGTGTTAAGTGACTGTTGAAAAGAAAAGTCAGAAGCAAGTTGATATGTGACTTGATTTGACTGTGCATATTTCAGCTGATCCCATTTCCCTGATCAGCTTGCCTAAATGTCTGTGATTCATTAAGAGCATGAGCCAAGGGCATTCTGCTCTGCCCCATCAACATAGTATGAGTCTGGCTTGCATTTTGAAGCATGGTAATGAAAGGCGCTCCAAAAACTGGATTGGATGTGCACTTGTGTCTTTTTATACTGAACATGGATACTAGATTTTCTTGCCAGAATGAGGTATTTTGTATTTAGGGCCTGATCCAAAGCCACTTGAATTCAATGACAAGACTTCCACTGACTTTGGCTCAGGCCCTAGGAAAGGTGTGGCAAAGAAAGAGCATGTTCATAATGATCTATGCTACAAATTGAGAGAGCAGAAGAGAAGATTTTCTGGGAGGTTTACAATAAAGATTAAGTGTGTAGTCTGGCAAGTACAAAATGTTATCCGGAGCCTGCATTTGCTTAATGCTTGTGATAGCCGTAGAGCTCAGCAATTATCCGTCTGGTTTTCCTTATGTTACAAACGAACATGGTTCAGTATGTAATAGATCTTCAGGCTACAGTGTAATTGTCTAATGGTGGATCAGAACACAATGTTAAAATTAACAGTGCTGCATAGTGGGCTTCTCTTTTCTTGGCTTGCATAGAAAGTACTACTAAGAACTTTCTCTCACAGAATGTCTTAATAAAGACCCCCTACTTAGCATATGGTGCTGTCCAATTCACTCTCTTTCAGTGAAAAAGAAAAGAAATTGGCATAAACACGATACCGGGCAGTCAACAGAGGTCAAACCCGTACAGAATGGGAGTCAAGTCTTCATAAAGGAACTTCGAAGTCGAACTTTTCCAAGGTAGGTTATTCAGCTATGTAGGTAAAAGTGCGATTACTGTGATGCACGTGGCCAATTATAATTTGTGCTCAAGTGGAGGAGGAACTGTGGTGAATGTTGTTTGCTTAGTTTATATACAGCATAGGGAGAGGAGTGAATGAAAGAGAATTCCCCATGTGAACGTTTGCCATGTAAAGACCTAGTTTTAAGCTAATTTCACAGACTTTAAGTCTTTAGTGATTGTCATTACGTGTAATGGCTCGAAGTCTCCTCTCAGTTACATTGGTGCAGCACTATTAAAACAGGTGCTTTCCCCAGTTAGCTGGGTCCTGTTCCCTACTAACACCTGTAAAACGGGCGCTGAAGGGGTCCTGGGAAGAAGTAGCATCTAGAAGGAATCCTGTTACTATATCTTTAAGGACTGGAGCCTTGCAGAGAGAGGGGTGGGGGCTCCACTCTCACCCAGCCAATAAAGAATGAGCTGGGAGAAGGGCCAGCATAAATGCTGCCTCCTTCATAGCAGGGCAGACGCCTGTGGATACGGCAGGGAGTAAGAAGGCTCCTCCAGGGTCCTGAGTTATCAGGGAGAAAACAGCTGCGGAGGAAGTTCTGCCTGCTGAACTCTCCTTGCCTGAGGGTGGAAGGGCTGACTGGGAAGAGGGCCAGGTGGAAGAGCAGCTGCCTAAGGCTCTACAGTTGGCCTAAAGTACAACTCCAGCTCCAAGGAGGAATTGCTAGGAGGCTCCTGTCTTAAGGAGAGGGACACAGGGTTTGTCCAAAGTACAGCCCAGCTCTGGGACGAGGGCTGGGACCTCATGAACAGGGGAGGTAATTGAACGAGACTCTTGCATGGACCCAGAGAGGGCATGGACTTGAGCAGCTAAATAAGTTAGTTGCTCTCTGTAGAAGGAATGAATAAATCAGACCCCACAAAGAGTGGTTGAACTAATCTGGTGTGAACTAATCGCTGAGTGCAACGAGCCTTCAGGGCCATGACAGGCTGCAAGCATGCATGCTGGAGCGTCACGCCCTACGACATTGCCACACAGTAATACTTAGGTGAGAAACCTGATGAATTACGTTCCGTGCTCAAGCATAGTGCAGACTTTTCTGAAGTTTATCTCAGCTTGATCAGAAAAGTAGCCACATCCTTAGTTGCTACAGTAACAAAAACTTGTTTGGGGTATTGATAGTGGGCATTTTACACATTTATTTTGTAACTCTGTACCTCTATTCATCAGAATGGTTATTTTTTCTGGTTCTTATAAGTGGATCTAAGTAACAATTGAGACTATTTCACAATCATGTTTGGAGGCAGGTAGAGTGTACTCGGTAAATACAAAAGTTCTATAATTCATGGAGAAGATTGCCTTAATTTAAAATATCTGCCCCCAAATCATTACTCTATGGGGAATCAGCTGCAAATTTATTTGCTAAAGCTTCTCTTTTGTGAACATTGTGTATAGGTGTATTTTTCACTTAACTTAATGCTTAACAATTTTACTTGTATGATTTTAGACCTTTGAACTCTTTGGTTTTCAGCTTAGCCGTTTTTGGACTGGCCACTTAAAACTATGTTTACCAAATCTTGCAGCTATATTAATAGATTTTAAGGCCAGAAATGACCATTATGATAATCTAGTCTGACCTCCTGCTTAACACAGGCCACAGAATTTAACCAAAGTGGTTCTTGCAATTACTAGGTGAAACACAATAGAATATTCAACAGATTTAAAATATCAAGTGGCCACATTTAAACTGCTTAGCTGGAGCAGATTGACAAATTCCTTCTCAAACTTTTTTTTTGGGGGGGGGGGGTGATTTTTGCTGGATCTCTTCAACTGCCAGTCACTCCAGTGGGAGGTGAAGGCACTTGACACCTTAAAAGGAGGTGATCAACAGCTTGAGGGATCTGGCACTGATTTATTCAAATCAAGAGTCTGACTTTCACCTGGTCCATGTTCATGTGCATTCACGTGTGTGCCCCCAAATCAGGGAGGTTCGCATGCAGTTGTAGGTCTTGCATTTGCATCTTTCTTGGCTTTGAGTCATTCTGCAGCTTCTGTAAATTTGGCCCTCAGTTTGTTTTCACCATTTTCTGCTCAAGATGGATTGTGCACAAAAGAGAATCCCCAGTGCTGAAGCAGAGGTTCCAAGGAGGAGTTTGCAAACAGTTCATCACAGGATTTATCCCTCAGCCATTTACAGTTGTGATGTTAGTAAAACAAAAAACTTTTGGGCCCTTTGCTATTTTAAGACTGACTTAATAATGAAAATAGTTGGTGCAGTTGAAACCTGCAGACGTTCACAGACCAAAACCCACACTAACTGTCCAGATCTCTCAAACTCACAAAGGGGCTTTTTTTTAATTTTTAAGTTGAAACCTCTTGCCTGTGTCATAGCACAAAGCTGAGGTGAAATTGTGTTACTGAAACGCACCGAAAGCCATAAACCTTGTGGTCAAGGAATCCAAGGACCGACTGAGATCAGAGGAAATAGGGAGGGGAGAGCCAAAAAAGAAAGTGGGACAAAAATGGAACTCTGCCTTGTGACAATGTGCTCATTTCATTTCCTGTGTTCCAGGCCTAAAGAAAGTTAACTTTGTCAGCTTGATTTCACACTTTTATTTTGTGTCTTTACCGATTTCTTCGCCTCCCCCACAAACAACAAATCAGTATCTGCCAAGGGCCTTAAATTCAATACATTAAACAAAACCACTAAAACACTTAAAAAAAAATTACATTTAAAATCAGCCTGCTGGTCCCAAAGTACACATCAAAATATCACGTCAGGCAGTGAGGTTGGCTATTTGGGCGGAGCCGCTCTAGAATTTGGAGATCAGTTTGGAGGCAGGGCTGGTAGCAGGGAGAGATAAATGATGCATTTGAGATGCTTGGACCCATATTTTGGCACTCAGTGGGGTATTCAGGGGAAAGGGGGGTAAGAGATTATTCCACCAGGGCTCAGTAATACATATTGTGACTGGCTTATCATGGCTGACTGGGATTCAGCTCCTACATTATTAATACCAAAGTAGCATTAAAATGAAAACATGTAAATCCCACAATTTTCAGGTGCCTCAACCTAGTTGACAAGGTCTCTGTTTCTGAATAACAGCTGCCAACTGCTCTGGTGGATTCAGAGCTCCTTTCATTGAGCTCCTTCCTATCTGTGAGCTTCTGTGGACTCTTACGGGACCAAATTCGTTGGTGACTTAGACATGCGAGTTACGTGTGGGGTGTTCCTGGGCTGTGATGCAAGCATAAGGGTTTAAGTGATAAACCAATGTAATGTGAACCAGCTGGGCATTCACTGGCTGAATAACCTGAATGTAATTTCTATGCTGAGTGGCAGAGAATGTATAGCAGAAAAGTGACAGGAGAATTTAAAAGAAGAAGAATATGAAGCATCCAACCCATACTTTATCTGGCAGTTTCCTGTTAGTTACTGTTCCTGCTACATCTCTCCCATTTGCACCTCCTTAACATGTGTAGATTACCTTAATTTTGCATTCCCAAACTGGTGCAAGTTGCACAACTTATGTCTCTTATACTCCTTTTATGTCCCATTTACACTCACAGTGTAACTTGCATCACCAATGAATTTGTCAGAGGACCTTTTATGGGATCTGCACCTGTTTACACCAGTGACAGGTGAATTTGGCTCATTCCATTTAACACTCTCCTGTAATTTAATGGCTCCACCCTTTGCTTCTTGTTCCTAGTTAAATAGCTCCTCTTCAAGTTCACAGATTGCATAGAGTTTAGGTGGAGCTCATCTTTAGCTAAGTATCTTTTACCTCAAGAGGTATCCTTGTTCCTTAAAGCATAAAACCTTCCATGAGCTAATACCACCTCTTCTGCATCTTGAGGCACCAGATATCCATCTAGGACTAAGAGCACTTAATTTCTCAGAAGGCCATCTCTGGGGATCTGCTCCTTGACTTACTAGATTCATAGACTTTAAGGTCAGAACGGACCATTATGATTGTCTAGTCTGACCTCCTGCACAACTACTTTGGTCCTTAGATCAGATTCTCAAGGCTCACTCTTTGCACCTTAATGGCACCTAGGTGCAGAAAAGCACTGTCCTTACTAGCCCTGGCTTAAACTGTATCTACCAAGGAAGTAATATCTGCTACATAAACACATGCCTGGCAACATACCATATGGATCTGTTATCATCAGAATGCCGGCTTTTATATGTGTGGTTTCTGAAAAAATCCTCTTCCAGAGCCCTTACCCGTCTGTACACTGAGTATCTGAAATATTCCCAATAGGAATTATTCAGTTTACCTCTCGATCATCTTCCACTAATTTACACAGTGTTTGGAACTCGTTATAAGGCTCCAGAAACAGCCTGGCCCCTTAGAGTGGTTACCACTGTCTTCATCTTTTTCCTATTTGTATCTAGTCCTCTTGTTCTCCAAGCGTCCCCTCCTCTGGACAGTTGGCATGGTCATTTGGCTAAAGAATCTATCAATAAACTTCTCACTTTCTCCAGTGTGAGGCTTTCAATTGGGTTCATGAATCCTGGGGACAGTTAAGAATTCCAGAACGTCATTCAGAAATTCACCCATCTGACACTGAGTGCACTTTCTCCTACTTCCAACTGGCACTAAGCTATCCTCAATAGAGCTTGATCTCAAAATCTACTCACCCATGCACAAAAAGCCCCAGATCCTGGTACTCAAACAGCTGCATCATTTGAACTTCGGAATCCCATTACGCGTGTCTGGATTAGAGCGACAAAGAAAGGGACTTTCCTAACCGCTTGCCTTTATTCAAAACAAACCCACCTTTCAGCAAAGAACTCCAGTCAGGACTATGCCGTAGTTGTATCTTATGCACTGACACACTAAGAAGCTACAGGTTTCGGAGTAGCAGCCGTGTTAGTCTGTATTCGCAAAAAGAAAAGGAGTACTTGTGGCACCTTAGAGTCTAACCAATCTATTTGAGCATAAGCTTTCGTGAGCTACAGCTACGGTATGCATCCGATGAAGTGAGCTGTAGCTCACGAAAGCTCATGCTCAAATAAATTGGTTAGTTTCTAAGGTGCCACAAGTCCTCCTGTTCACTTCACCATGGCAGTATGAGTGTTTGTATACCTGCTTCAGCTGTTACTAACTCAGGCAGCTGCAGTTCAGAACTAACACAGAAGAGGGCAGTCCAACATTAGTCTTAAGTGTTTCTGGAGTTGTACTGAAGGGTCTATTATCACCCCCTTGGTGCAAGTATGAATTTGTGTTATGGCTGTTGGTGCCTGTGTGCCCACTGTGTATGGGAGAATAGATCTCTCGGTATACACAGTAGTGCACTATTAAAAATATCTTCACGAGCTTAAAGAAACTTCATACTTGTCCAAGTAACTAATTTCCCCATATGCCTAGGTAGACTCAGAGGAGAAAATAGCATTTGTTAGAGCTTTTCCTAGAGGACTGTTACTATATGGGGACTTGTAGTCATGGAATCATTAATCATTTTCACAGCGATCGTGCCTTTGAAAATGTTTGTTAAAATGTTTTAGTAGTGAGAAGCTCCAGAGGTTGGATTTCTGAAACTTCTGAGTTTAGCTTATCTATATTTGGTAAAACCGTTGCATTGTATCAGTGTTTGTTAATTACTGTAAGACTTCAGTGTTTGACTATGAGTTTTAAAGAGTTTAAGTGAATAATTTTTCTTTAACGTTACATAACATTTTGAATGTTGGCTTCTTTAATTTGGAATATTTAACACTGTTGATGTGTCTGCATTTTGCACTGATAACTGTTCTCCACACCCTTTGAAATTGGTTCATTAACACAAAGTGTTATCTTTGATGTTTTCAGTAGTTTAGGCAGATGAATTTATTCCGGAATATTTAATCATGCTTCACATATTTTGCAATAAATTGATTCATGATTTCAGTCTCATGCATATAATTGGAGTGTTGCAATCAAATGTGAACCTGAATAGAGTTCAGTGGAATGCAGTTAGCTATCTAGTCACAAAGAGGCCTGATTCTTCAGTACCTTGAGCCTTGTATAGTCACTTAAATCTATTCAACGTTGGTGTAAAATGCTATGCATTTAACACACTGCTTGCAAAGGTGTGAATGACTACACAAAGTGCTAGGAGTGGAGATCCAGGCTTCCAATTTCTAGCTGTTATGAATTAATTTCCAAAAGACTTCAAGATTTATTAATATTCCTGGTTTGGGCTCCTCTTCTTATAGATCCAGGTTTTTGCCCTGAGCACTTACAACTCTCATTCAAGACAGTGGGATTTTGGGGTACTTGGGAACTTTCCATATCATGCCATTAATAAGAAAAGAAATGTAATAATTTTAGTCGCAACATGCAAAGTCTTACCTTTTGTGACCAGTGAATAGCTGACTACAATTACTGGGCAGAATTATACCCTCGCCTGGAACTGAAAGAAGAATTTGTCTACTAAATTTATCAGAGAAAAGTTGTAAATTAGAATTGTTGGATAAACAAAACAAGTAAATGTGTGTGTGAGAGAGAGACAGAGATAGATAGATAGATATATAAAAAACACACACACACAGGTACTTGCTGTTGAAAGAATGTGCTTTTGACTGTTTTTGAATACATGTACTTATATATAATGGGATGAGGTATTAAACTGCCAGTCATAAAATCCAGCATACAAAATTCATATTCAGTTTTATTTGACACACTGACTTCAGTAGAACCATGACTTCTTTCCTATTGTTTATAATTTCCAATAGCAAAATTCACATTACGCTATTAAAGGTGCCTAAGGGAGTTAGGTGTTCAGTTTCCATTGAGTTTCAATGGGATTTGGGCACCTAACTACCATATGCTCTTTTGAAAATCCCAGCATTTCGTCAATAGAAGTAGAAGCCAAGGACATTGTTTTGGATTGTTTCAAAAATATCAAGCTACCTGATTAAACAAAGCATGAGGTACTTGGGATAAGTTATCACTGGCATCTTATGGCTTAGAATGACTTGTATATAATTGTGTGTTTATCCTTTCAGTAAAGAAATCAAAAAGATGCTGAATTTGGATGTGAAATATCTTAGCACGGTAACTGTGTTTGTGTTTCTAGTGCTGAAGATGTGGTGGTCAAAGTGACCGGAAGCCAGCTAACAACAGAATACTTGGAAGAAAATGGATTCACAGAGCCTATCCTGGTTCCGAAGAAGGATGGCTTGGGCTTAGCAGTACCCGCACCTACATTCTACGTCAGTGATGTTGAAAACTACGTCGGTATGTATTTGTCTAGAGAGTGGCGTAATATTTGTTTGCTGATGCTTTCAGTCATGCCATTTCAGCCTCACCCTGTCACGTGTAAAACTAGAGTAAACCAGCAGGGAATCAGGCCTCTTTGGTTTTTGATACTTATTTAAATCAAGCTCCTGACAAATGCTTGGGAGAAGAACATTTTGAGCGATTTCCCTCCCCCCCTCCCCACTCTCATCGTCTGCTTCTTTGAGGGAAGGTGAGATTTGATGGTCCAGATCCTCGGAAGGAGTAAAACAGTGTCAGTGGAGCTAATCCCATTTATGCCAATTGAGGATTAGGCCCATAATATCACTGGCATTAATCAGTAAAAAGCAAATGGGGGGAAAATGATGATAAAATAATTTCAGGCCTTCTTAAACATCATCAGGAAGGAAAAAGGGGACAAACACAGGTCCCTTTTAAAAATCAAGATCTCGTCTGGCCTGCATAGACATGCTGGCCCTGATGTTTGGGTCTGGCCAAGCTAGGTTTGGTGCATGACCCTGTGGGGGGCAGGAGGGGCAATGGTGTCTGTGTGGGCACCTTTGTACTCCTCAGATTCCCAGGGCCCTGGGATCCCAGTTTGGCCTTTTTGCATAAGCTAGAGCAACCCCTGAAGGCTTCTCTGTCTTCCTATAGTGGCCCAAATGGCTGTTGCAGTAGCTGGGGATTGCTGGAATGCAGCAAACTCCAGTCACATCCTGCTCAACACACTGCACACCCCCTTCCCCTAGGGATCCCCCAGCTGCACAATTAGGCCAACTTTAAGGCTGCTTTGTGCTACTGGAGTAGTGAAAAGGATGCTCAGATAGGGTCAAGGTTCTGTCCTTAAGGGCCTGATTCTACATTGCTTTACCCCTTGTGCAGTCGTTCATACCCGTGCAAAGTGGGTGTGAAATACTTCCATTGGGATTGGATAGTATTTTACCACCACTTTGTGCAGGTGAAGTGACCTCACAAGGTGCGAGGAGGCTGGCCCTAGAGATTCTGTGGCACTTTCTGTACAATTATGGGAAGAGATTGCTCAGTGAATTTCTCTTCCCACTGTGGTGCAGTTCTCCGTGCTGGTTGGCTGCCAGTCTCCGTCCAGAATTGGCTGCGTTTAAGTGGTTTAACATTTTGTCTTAAAATTAGAACTGCGCCAAATGTAAAATGTTGCTGTCATCCCTCATACTGCAGGGCTCCCAAACTTCATTACACAGTGGTAGCTTTTAATTACTAGTTAAACCACAATTGTTTAGTGGGCAAATCCTGTGTGTTTGAGAGAGTGAGAGCAAGGCTTTTCTGTTGCACTGCAGAGCACTCTGTTCCAAGAAGCAGTCATCATGGTGTTGAGAAATTGGTTCTCCAAACCATGTCCTAACTAGGGCTTTCAATTAATCGCAGTTAACTCACGTGATTAACTCAAAACAAAATAACTAGATTAAAAAAATGAATTGCGATTAATTGCAGTTTTAATCGCACTGTTAAACAATACCAATTTAAATTTATTATAAATATTTTTGGATGTTTTTCTACATTTTCAAATATAGTGATTTCAGTTACAATGCAGAATACAAAGTGTACAGTGCTCACTTTATATTATTATTTTTATTACAAATATTTGCACTGTAAAAAAATAAACAAAAGAAATAGTATTTTTCAATTCACCTAATGCAAGTACTGTAGTGCAATCTCTATCATGAAAGTGCAATTTACAAATGTAGAATTATTGTTTTACATAACTGCACTCAAAAACTAAACAATGTAAAACTTTAGCGCCTATAAGTCCATTCAGTCCTACTTCTTGTTCAGTCAATCGCTAAGACAAACAAGTTTGTTTACATTTACGGGAGATAATGCTGCCCACTTCTTATTGACGATGTCATCTGAAAGTGAGAACAGGCTTTCGTATGGCACTGTTGTAGCCAGTGTTCAAGGTATTCACGTGCCAGATACATTAAACATTCGTATGCCCCTTCATGCTTTGACTTGTAGATTGTACTATCTTTTGTTTATCTTTTTTACAGTGCAAATATTTGTAATAAAAATAATAACATAATGTGAGCAGTGTACACTTTGTAGTCTGTGTTGTACTTGAAATCAATATATTTGAAACTGTAGGAAAACACCCAAAATATTTATAATGAATTTAAATATTGTATTATTGTTTAACAGTGCAATTAAAATGGCGATTAATTTTTTTAATCATTTGACAGCCCTAGTCCTAGCTGACTTCTACCATCTCACCATGTATCAGACATACAGCTAGACTGAGGTCCTCTGCCCATACGAGGCATTCCAGTTTGCTCAGTTTAGCTTTATAGCAGTAGGTATTGTTAGGCGTTTTGTGGTTTCTATTGCTAATGATCGTTTGCATTACTTTGGTTATACTCTCCTGCTGTATCACTTTCCCGATCATCTGGTTGACTTCCTCAAGTTCTCTGCAGACTCCAGCCTGTTCAGACCTCTTCAGCACACACCTCAGAGTGATCACTTGGAGCCGTCCTGAAGGAGCTCTGTAACCACTGCAAAATTTGTTCTCCTTGCCTTCAAAGCCCTCATTCCTCCATCTGCCTCCAGACTCTTGTCTGCCCTTCCACCTCACCCAGTCCCTCTGCTACCCCACTTGCTTCCTTTCCCTCCTCTCCTCTGCCATGTTTCTGCAGCTCCATCCTGTCTTATAAATATGGCAAAATCTGCCCCTTCTCCACTATAATCAGTTAGCTGCCAACTACTGTATTAATGTATATTGTTACCAGCCCTCGGTGTTTCTCCGAGTATGCTGTCCCTCCCCAGCCTCATACCCTCGTCCTGTAACATGTCCATCGTTGTAACGGTTGTGTGCAGTGAGATAGTTGCACAAACAACAGTGTATTAAAATAGCCTTTAATTTACTGTAATTTCCATCCTCTCTAGTCTACTGGAAGCATAATTTTGCTTGTCTATCTGCTTTCCTTAGCAGATTGTATTGTTTGACCCGAGTGCTCCTTAGCATCTGCTGGCTTTCCCCCAGTCTCTAGCTAAAACAATCCACCCTCCCTACATACAAAAAGCTCTCTAATAAACAGCCAAAGAGAAGAGCAATACAGACTGTGCAAGCTGGAACTGGTTTCTATAGAGAATGGGACAAAACAAATTTCTGGTGTAACATTAGTGTAATTTGGCTTTGATGGGGTTATATCAGGGAGGAATTTAGCCCATTGTTTCTAAGATTTTCCATAGGCCATAGAAGAGTCTATTTAAGAAGCAGCAGAGGAGAAAGTAATTTGTGCAAACTAAAGAACCAGACAAGTTGTTACTGTGCTGACATTAGGCACTAAAAGCCGTGTTGTGACTAAAGAACTGATTTATTCTATATCTGCCAAAATGTGAAAGCTATAAACAGGGACATTGGGTGAGAAAATGAAGACTACACATTTAAACTCCACTGAAATATAAGACAGTAGGGTCGCTTTTCAGGACAGCAGAATAGAGAAAATGTTAACTTGTTGGCTTAAAAATGGGCACTCATTAAGGATTGTTAGAGCTCCTGGGCCTGACTCTTCCCGCACTTACACCATTTGTACCCTGGTGCAGCTCCACCAGCTTCTGTCGCGTTACTCTTGGTTAGTGTTATCACTGGAGTTCTGAATCAGGTCCAATTTCTTTTAAATGAAATGCAGAATGAAGGTTCTGGTGACTTGTTTTCTGTGTTTGGGGAAAAGATGGATTTTTTGGGTAGTTTTAACAAAATGAACTAGAAAAAGTAAGACTCTTTTAGGTGCACCTGTTACTCCAAATGACTGTACTTTAGAAATGGGAGCAATATTAGGGGGCTGATCTTTGTTGATAGCTAACATTTATTTCAGTTTGCCAACTTGAAAATTTATTAGAAAAATAATAGGAATAAGAAACAATTGGGAAATCAGTTGTGCTGTATAATATCCCTACTATCCTTGTATTATATTATCCTTGTATTATCCTTGTATGTTAAGAAAATATAAATGTTAGTTAATCGCATAGGGTTGGTTTTGCAGAGCTATTTCGCTGTGGATTTCCATAGGATTTTGATTATGCTGCTGTGGAAATTACACAATGAAATAAGTAGAGAGATTAAAACTAACTTAACACTCATCTTTTTCAGATAAAATCTTTTAAAATGAAAAGCTCAGAGGAGATAAGTACAAACGCTATTGTTAATATAACCTTAAGATTACACTGGTAAACATGAAACAGTTGGGAAATGCAAAAGTTAAGGTGCTTCTAGAAACTTTACTTCATCCACTCATTGTACATAATGGGTCCAGTCCTTCATTCCTAGTGATCTAAAACTCCCATTTTCTCTTGGCATTAATTCCTTAGGACCAGAAAGAAGTGTTGATGTCACTGATGTCACCAAACAGAAAGACTGCAAGATGAAGCTGAAGGAGTTTGTTGATTACTACTACAGTACCAACAGGAAAAGAGTTCTCAATGTAACTAACTTGGAATTTTCAGATACAAGGTAAGAGGGAATAACTGACCAGCCCACTCCACAGACCGTGGAACCATTCCCCCTGTAGAGTACGGTGTCCTAAAAGCTCTGTGAGATTTGCCTAGTGGAGTTTTGAGTCCCTTCTGGCCTCTCCTGCAGGTTTCTCTGCTGGAGGTGCTGTGACCTCAGCATACTGATTTCACAGTGGGTCTGATTCTCCACTGCCTTGCCCCTTGTGTGGTCAGTTAGGGCTTGTCAGCAGGGGAAAGTTTGACCTGTTATACCAATGAGATACAGTTATGCTGCTGTAACTCCCCATGTGGACACTCTTCTGGTATACTAGTGGCTTTTTTTTCAGTGTCACTTTAAACTCCTTCCCAAGTGACGTGAACTAAACTGAAAACGACCTGGGGAATTATACTGGTCTAATGATATCTTAAATTCACACCTTCAGTTATACCAAATTTTTTCCCCATGTAGACATGGATACTTATATGAAACAAGTCAAATATTGGCAGGAGGACAAAAGAAGAGATAAGGCAAAGGCATAATGAAACTGCAGAGAGATGTGTAGATTAACTAGGTCCTCCACATGAACTTCTCAAGGGATGTTGTGGGGAGGGAAGGTCTTGTTTTCCAAGCTTGTTTCTGACACAATAGGAATCTTCTGTGATGTAAAAACTGTAATTGGAGAAAAGTTACAAATGTAAGATCTCTCCTGGACAAGGCTCTGTTTTTGTGTGGAGTATAGCACCAAGCACATTATCAGTGCAAAATTAATAAACAACATTAGTGATTAGTGATAGTGCATCCCAACCTATCAGCCATGTGGATCCTCACAGAGAATTCTTCACTTCAAAAAAGAGAGAGCAAATAAAGATCTTGTACTGTTGCTAAAGTGTTGAGATGAAGTCTTTTTGCCTCTTGAATTGAGCTCACCACAATACTGAACCTGGCAGAAGCAAAATGCACTTTCAAGCTTTTTTTTTTTTTTTTTTTTAATTAACAAAGCCAGAATAAAAAGGGGCGAATGGTCTTTGAAATCTGCTGTAAGATAAAATTATCCGTAGCACCTGAGAGTCCGTGGAACTTGGACTCCTTAGTCATGTTGGCACTTCTGAAAATGTTACCCTCAGTCTGTTTTCCTTGATTATATTTTTGTATGTGTCCCCAAGAGCACAGTACTAAAATGGTGAGTAGGCAAGCCCTTGATAGATATTTGGTAAAGCCATCCTAGGCACCTGTAGACACTGGACCAGATTCTGATTTCAGTATACTGGTACAAATTCAGTGCAACTCCACGCGGATTAAAAAATATACAGTGGAGTTATTCTGGTTTAATTTAGTTCAGGGTTTAATGAGAGCAGGGTTAAAGTGAATATAGTCTGGGGATTTTGTGGAGGGTGTGGATGCCTCTGCTTCAGTGTTTGCAGGTAATCTGTTATCTCTTTGACTCCAGGTCCATCCTGATGTTGACCTTATGTGACAGTGACACTGACTTGAACACAGGTGTTTAGTTGTCCCTGAATATGTGTCCCTGCTACAGCACTGATTTGAAGCTAGCTGCAAAATTTAGTGTTTGAATGAATTTCAGTTTTAGAAACCTCAGAGGTGGGGAATCTCCCATTCTGCACTGTTTCATGTTGTGTTTTAGGCTCTTAACAGTCCCCTCTATATCTGAAAGTACAAATTACTGTGTTTTGGTTTATACAACCATATTCAGGACTTTGAGTGAGATTATACCCAGGAGTAGCTTCAGTGGGGGAGTTGAATTTATGTTATCCTGAACCTTATGCAGCCACATGAATCCTTTAGATTTGCCTTGTACTCCTTCTGGGTAATCTAGACATGTATAAAGAAAATGTCACCAGGGAAAAGGACCCTTTATAAAGACCACATCACTACAGAGAAAATGTGATGAGCTCCAGCAGAAAAATAAACAGTTATGATTTTAGAAGAACATTCCATCTTGCTGAAAAGAAAGAAACAACAATAATTAACACAGACTAGAAAAAGGTGGAAAGATAATTGCACGTTCATTTCTTTTAATATCCAGAGATTTCTTGCCTGTGCTCTCTTGTATTTATTGTTTTAGCCCTGGTTTACACTACGAGTTTAGGTCGAATTTAGCAGCATTAGATTGATTTAACCCTGCACCCGTCCACACAATGAAGCCATTTTTATCGACTTATTGGGTTCTTAAAATCGATTTCTGTACTCCTCCCCGACGAGGGGATTAGCGCTGAAATCGACATCGCCAGGTCGAATTTGGATTAGTGTGGACGCAATTCGACGGTATTGTCCTTCGGGAGCTATCCCACAGTGCTCTCGTGTGACCATTCTGGACAGCACTCTTGGCCTGGATGCACTGGCCAGGTAGACAGGAAAAGCCCTGGGAACTTTTGAATTTTATTTCCTGTTTGGCTGGCGTGGCAAGCTGATCAGCACAGGTGACCGTGCAGATCTCATCAGCAGAGCTGACCATGGAGTCCCAGAATCACAAAAGAGCTCCAGCATGGACCCAACGGGAGGTACTGGATCTGATCGCTGTGTGGAGAGACGAATCAGAACTCCGTTCCAAAAGACGAAATGCCAAAATATTTGAAAAAATCTCCAAGGGCATGAAGGACAGAGGCTATCACAGGTACCTGCAGCAGTGCCGCGTGAAACTTAAGGAGCTCAGGCAAGCCTACCAAAAAACCCAAGAGGCAAACGCCCACTCGGGGTCAGAGTCCCAAACATGCTGCTTCTATGGTGAGCTGCATGCCATTCTAGGGGGTGCCCCTACAACTACCCCACACCTGTACATGGACTCCTGCAAGGGAGTCTCATGCAACAGGGATGAGGATTTTGGGGACGAGGAAGATGAGGAGGAGGGGGAGGTTGAAGATCGCGCAGACCAGGCAAGTGGAGAAACCATTCTCCCCGACAGCCAGGAACTGTTTATCACCCTGGAGACAGTACCCTCCCAACCCAGGTTCCCGGAACTTGAATGCAGAGAAGCACCTCTGGTGAGTGTACCTTTGTAAATATAATACACGGTTTAAAAGCAAGCGTGTTTAATGATTAATTTGCCCTGAAGACTTGGGATGCATTCGCGGACAGTACAGCTACTGGAAAAGTCTGTTAACGTGTCTGGGAATGGAGCAGAAATCCTCCAGGGACATCTCAATGAAGCTGTCCTGGAGGTGCTCCCAAAGCCTTTGCAAAAGGTTTCTGAAGAGGGCAGCACTTTACCATGGCAGGCCAGTAGCACGTAGTCTGGAATCATTGCATAAGAAAGCATGGCAGCGTGTGGTCCCGGTATTTGCTGGCATTCAAGCAACATCCGTTCTTTATCTCTCTGAGTTATCCTCAGGAGAGTGATATCATTCATGGTCACCTGGTTGAAATAGGGGAATTTTATTAAGGGGACATTCAGGGGTGGCTGTTCCTGGTGGGCTGTTTGCCTGTGGCTGAAAAGAAATCATCCTTGCTGTTAGCCACGCGGCGAGGGGAGGGGTGAAGCAATCATCCCAGAGAATTGGGTGTGTGTGTGGGTGTTAATTGGGTTTGTGCTGCACGTTAACCTGAAAACATCAGCCCCTCCTTTTAAATGGCCAGTGTGTGTTTTTCAGTTTTACTCTCCCTTTTTTTCCTCCCGCAGCTGCAAATATTTCAATGCTGTGACTAGCATCTCCGTCCCAGAGGCTAGTGCAGATAAGAAGGCGAAAAAAACGCACTCACCATGAAATGTTCTCTGAGCTCATGCAGTCCACCCAAACTGAAAGAGCCCAGCAGAATGTGTGGAGGCAGACAATGGCAGAGTTCAGGAAAGCACAAAATGAACTCAAGGACAGGTGGTGGGATCAAGAGGAGAGGTGGCAGGATGCAATGCTGAGGCTACTGGAGGATCAAACTGATATGCTCCGGCGTATGGTTGAAGTGCAGGAAAGGCACAGACCACCACTGCAGCCCCTGTGTAACCAACCGCCCTCCTCACCCAGATGCCCAAGAACGTGGTGGAGGGGGGGCCATCTGGGCACCCAACCACTCCACCCGAGAGGACTGCCCAAGCAACAGAAGTCTGGCGTTCAATAAGTTTTGAAGTGCAGTGTGGCCTTGTCCTTACCTCCTCCCCCACCCCACCCGGTGCTTCCCCTCCTCCTCCACCCCTCCTGGGCTGCCTTGGCAGTTATCCCATTTCTGTGACGAATTAATAAAGAATGCATGAATCTGAAACAACAATGACTTTATTGCCTCTGCAAGTGGTGATCGAAGGGGGGAGGGGAAGGCAGTTGGCTTACAGGGAAGTAGAGTGAACCAAGGGGGCGGGTTTTCATCGAGGAGAAACAAACAGAATTGTCACACCGTAGACCTGGTCAGCCATGAAACTGGTTTTCAAAGCTTCTCTGATGCACAGAGTGCTCTGCTATGTTCTTCTAACCACCCTGGTGTCTGGCTGCACGTAATCAGTGGCCACGCCATTTGCCTCAACTTCCCACCCTGCCATAAACATCTCCCCCTTACTCTCACAGATATTGTGGAGCACACAGCAAGCAGTAATAACAATGGGAATATTGGTTTCACTGAGGTCTAACCAAGTCAGTAAACTGCGCCAGCGCTCTTTTAAACGTCCAAATGCACATTCTACCACCATTCTGCACTTGCTCAGCCTATAGTTGAACAGCTCCTGGCTACTGTCCAGGGTGCCTGTGTATGGCTTCATGAGCCATGGCATTAAGGGGTAGGCTGGGTCCCCAAGGATAACTATAGGCATTTCAACATCTCCAATGGTTATTTTCTGGTCTGGAAAGTAAGTTCCTTGCTGCAGCTGTTCATACAGACCAGAGTTCCTGAAGATGCAAGCGTCATGTACCTTTCCTGGCCATCCCACGTTGATGTTGGTGAAACGTCCCTTGTGATCCACCAGTGGTTGCAGCACCATTGAAAAGTACCCCTTTTGGTTTATGTACCAGCTGCCTTGGTCCCAAGATAGGGATATGTGTTCCGTCTATCGCCCCACCACAGTTAGGGAATCCCATTGCAGCAAAGCCATCCACTGTGACCTGCACGTTTCCCAGAGTCACTACCCTTGATAGCAGCAGCTCAGTGATTGCATTGGCTACTTGGATCACAGCAGCCCCCACAGTAGATTTGCCCACTCCAAATTGATTCCCGACTGACCGGTAGCTGTCTGGCGTTGCAAGCTTCCAGAGGGCTATCGCCACTCACTTGTGAACTGTGAGGGTTGCTCTCATCTTGGTATTCTTGCACTTCAGGACAGGGGAAAGCAAGTCACAAAGTTCCGTGGAAGTGCCCTTACGCTTGCGAAAGTTTCGCAGCCACTGGGAATCATCCCAGACCTGCAACACTATGTGATCCCACCAGTCTGTTCTTGTTTCCCGGGCCCAAAATCGGCATTCCATGGCATGAGCCTGCCCTGTTGCCACCAGGATGGCCAAATTACCGGGGCCCGTACTTTGAGAGAAGTCTGTGTCCATGTCCTCATCCCTCTCATCACCGCGCTGCCGTCGCCTCCTCGCCTGCTTTTGCAGGTTCTGGTTCTGCATATACTGCATGATAATGCGTGATGTGTTTACAATGCTCATAACTGCTGCGGTGATCTGAGCGGGCTCCATGCTTGTCGTGGTATGGCGTATGCAGGAGAGCAGAGTTGCAGGGGAAGCAGTGGTTGGATGACCAGTTTTGCAGACCTACTGCACTGTCTGCTGCCAGGACACAACAGCTGAGCGGGCTGCATGCTTGCCGTGGTATGGCGAGACAAGGGCAGCCGAGCAGAGTTGAAACGGAAGCGGCCCTGCGAGACCACCAGGAGAGCAGAGTGCCAGCGAAGCGGTGGATGATGACAGTCATATAGAGGACCTGCAAGGTGGATTCATAGCATCAGGAGAGCATAGTGGCAGCGGAAGCGGTGGATGACGATGACGGTTAGCAGTCCTAATGCACCGTCTGCTGAAAGCAGTATGGCACCCGCATGGAAAAAAGGTGCAAAACGATTGTCTGCTGTTGCTTTCACAGAGGGAGGGGCGACTGACGACGTACCCAAAACCACCCGTAACAATGTTTTTGCCCCATCAGGCATTGGGAGCTTAACCCAGAATTCCAAAGGGTGGTGGAGTCTGCGGGAACTGTGGGATAGCTACCCACAGTGCAATGCTCTGAAAGTCGACGCTAACCTCGGTACTGTGGACACACTCCGCCGACTTAATGCGCTTAGTGCATTAGTGTGGGGACACACACAATCGACTGTATAAAATTGCTTTCTAAAAAATCGACTTCTATAAATTTGACCTAATTTCGTAGTGGAGACATACCCTTAGTGATTTAAGCTTGTTTCCACATAAAGAATCTGAAGTAATTTCAGAGTTCAATGATTATAAGTATTTTCAATAGGGATTTTACAGCTTTTCACTTTTAGGAGACAACAATGATGGGAGGTCTTTTATTCTCAGGATTGCTGGAGCCATCACTCATATGCTGCTGATTTAGACATCAACTACCAAATATTTTATTTCTTAACAAAGACCGTGACATTTTAATTGAATCTCACACTCCATCTTTCCCTGCCATTTTAACTGGAACAATGTTATCAGGCTCTGGCGGTGAGCATAAATGATATATGCCTGTCAAACGGGAGCATATAATTTTAGATTGATGTTCAGATGCTCTCATTTAAGTGACATTTTAAAGTGCCCTGTGTTGGAGAAACAAATATTTGTTCTAAGTATTGACCTGGTTTAAGTAAAAGGTTAATTTAGTTCGAGCACTACATAGTCACTTTTTCAGTTCTTCATGTCAACTTGTGATTGAATGTGCTTGAATGATCTCCCTGAATAACACTTTCTCCTCATTTGAAGTTTTTGAGAAATCACTGAGACCAGAAGTGGCTCAAGCCCTCATTAATTGTATTGAGAATGGCCAGCTCACTTTGCCAAGAAAAGGAGTAATTTCTCAGCCCACCTGGACTCCTCCTATCCGTGACATCAAAATGTAACATGCCTACTGTATGCCACCATACAGTCACTAAACCTGAACATCTCAATATTGACACTGTAAACCATGAGCAAATTAAACAACATTAATAATGCCAGCAGCATAAGTCCACAGGCCAGTAAAGGATCAGCATGTTTCATGAAGAGATTTAAATCCTGCCAACTTCTGCTTGTGAACATTTTTCAGCTTATTGTAAAAGTATAGTTTCCTTATGCCTGAAATATTCCAGATCAGGTTCTGATCTTAATTACTCTGCTCTAAATTCAGAATAACTCCATTGACAGGTATGGAGTTACTCCAGATTCAGATTGATGTAAAAGATCAGAATCCAGCCCTTTCCTTTCTGTACATGATGGTTTTTTTGATCATTATTAAAAAGGTTTTTTATCCTCTCTGTTAAGAATGTCCAGTTTTGTAGAACCACCAGACATCGTTAAAAAGCTGTCTTGGGTGGAGAATTATTGGCCTGATGATGCTCTGCTGGCAAAACCAAAAGTGACCAAGTACTGCCTGATATGTGTGAAGGACAGCTACACAGATTTTCACATAGACTCTGGAGGGGCATCGGCTTGGTACCACGTGCTGAAAGTAAGGAGTTACATTTTACTTCCATTTAATAACCAATTTAATTCTTAGACCATCATGAAACACTTCAGAGCTCTTTGGCTAAGGTAAAGTGTAACCAGGTCCTCAACTGTTGTAACTCAGTGTAGTGCCATTAATTGGTGCTATGCCAGTTTACACCAAGGATATGGCCCATAATATATAAATTGTCTAAATCTTCTCTTTCAGAGCACTCTAATTTAAGGATTAATTAGTTAATGTTTGTGCAGTACTTTCTAAATTTAAATCTCTCTATAAAGTTTAAATGTTATTAGTATTATTCTATTCTGCTGTTACTCTGATACAGTAGGTCTTTTCCATCTGTCACTAATATGATCCCAAAGTCTGAGCAATTATCTACTAATAATGAACTTTGTACATGTTTGTATATAAACACATGATCCTTTTTTAAAAAACTTCTTAGACTGTATGTGATTCCGTTTTCTGTCATGTTACTATACTGGGATTCTATTCAAAATCGTCTAGCAAACCTTATTTAAAGTGTGTTAAAATATGCAGTCCAACAGCCATTCTGTTGCAGTTTCATTTGGTTTGGATGTTTGTTGCTAGCTGCATTTTTTTTTTCAATTCAGGGAGAAAAGATATTTTATCTCATCAAACCGGCCTCTGCAAACATTTCCCTGTATGAACGCTGGCAGTCAGCAGCAAATCACAGTGAGATGTTTTTTGCAGACCAAGTGGATAAATGTTATAAATGCACAGTTAAGCAAGGACAAACGCTCTTTATCCCATCAGGTGAGTAGGTTGCTAAAGGTGTTCTGTGTAGAGTATTCCCTGGAATATTAAGAACAAGTGCTGCTTTGTGCGTGCAAGCTTTGCCTAATTATAAATTATTCTCTTCTCTGGGGAAAAATGGTATTTCGTGTGCTTACTCGGTTGGCCTCATCAGATGAAGCACAGATTCTGTGTGCCTTGCTTTATTGTCATTTACATAGTGCATACTGAACAGCAGATATTATCGTAATTTAAACCAGAGATCCTTATTACTTGTCTGTCATTTCAATGATGTTCAGCGAGTATTCTGCTCTAACCGAGCTCCATGTTCCTCTCTGCCTTCCATGTCAAAAGGATGGGGCGGGAAGAAGAATTAACAGAGGTCTCAGTGCAGGAAGTCTGTCTATTTTAGGTATTTGTGTGGCCCCCTTTACCATAGGGTCTGACCACCTCATGCTCTATAGAGTATTTATCCTCACAACACCCCTGTGAGGTAGGAAAGTATTTTCCCAATAAGGAACTGAGACATAGCGGCTGCATGACTCTCCCAAGGTCACACACATGGAGTTTGTGGCAGGGCTGGAAATTGAACCTGGGTCTCCCAAATCCATGGCTAGCACTCGAACCACTGGGCCACCTGGGAAAGCGCACTCATTCAAGGCAGCAGTTCTGCATGCTTTTCTGAATCAGGAGTGCAGGTCGAGAAGCAGAACCTCCATGGTGCATGCAGTCCCCCCTGAGAAATTTGAAAAATGTTGACCACTTCTATAGTGCTGACTTCCCTAGTGCTGTGGAGATGCAAAGGAAGGCAGACTCTGGCCAAAGAATATTGTACTGTACCAATATTTAAAAGGAGTAAACTCCCGGGAGAGAGAGAGAGAGGAATTATTTAGGATGATCTAGGAGTAATTGGGTTGAGTTAAGCAAAGGAGTGTTTTGTCTGAACATCATGAACATTTTATAAGGGTGAAATCTATTCATCTGTTGAAAAGCCTCCCAAAGGCAGTGACGGAAGACATTTAAAACGGGACTGGACAAAGCATTAGAAAATATACCTCAGGGGACAATCCTGCACTGTTACAGGGATGGACTAAGTGATCTATTAAGTTTCTTCCATCACTAATTTGGACCGTTCTGTGAAACAGAAATATTCAGATTGAACAGAGATATTTAGAGGCCTTAATTTCATTAATAAGAATTTCTATAAAACCACCTAGCAGCTCTGAAGAAAATTTTTTAATATAATATATATAATGTTAATATTTGTATTACACATTTGAGACATCCTAAAACGAGTTGCATGGCATTCTGTCATGAATTAAGACACCAGAACTGATTCAAGAGAATAGTAATAGATTCAGAGAGTTTATGAAGGCCAGAAGGGAACATCAGATCATCCAGGCTGACCTTCTGTATAGCACAGACCGTTACATTTCCCCCAGTCACCTCTGTATTGAGCCCAGTCATGTGTTCGGCTAAAGTATGTCTTCCAGAAAGGCGCCAAGTCTTGACATGAAGATATGAAAAAATGCAAAATCCCTCCCTTCCCTTTGTAGAATGTTCCAGCAGATGATCACCCTCACTATTAAAAATTGGTGCCTTATTTCTAATTTGAATTGGTCTGGTTTCTGTGTCCAGCCCCTGGCTTTTGTTCCACCATTCTGCACTAGAGTAAAGAACCCTTTAGTACCTTGTGTTTTCTCCCTGTGCAAGTACTTAGTTATATACTGTCATCAAGTCACCTGTCCATCTTCTTTTTGAGAAGCGAAACAGATCGCATGCTGGAAGTCCTTCACTGCAAGGCCCTTTCTCCAGCCCTCAAATGATTTTGGGGGCTCTTTTCTGCACCATCTCCAATTGTTCAACGTCCTTTGTAATGTGGACACTGAACTGTACTCAGTATTCCAATATTGGTCTCACCAACGCTGTCTACAGAGGTATAATCGCCTCTGTACTCCTCCTCACTACCCCCCCTGTTTATACATCCCGGGTTCCCATAAGCCCTTGTTGGCACAGCATTGTAATTGGGAGCTCATGCTGAGTTGCTTGGCCACTGGGGTATGTCTGCATTGCAGTAAAAACCCTGCGGCACCGAGTCTCAGAGCCTGAGTCTGCTGTCTTGGGGTTGCGGGGCTAAAAATCGCAATGCAGACTTTCAGGCTTGGGCTGGAGCCACAGGCGCCAACTTTACAATGTGTTGACCCGTGGCTCTGCCCCAGGCCCCACCCCCACTTCACCCCTCCCCCAAGGTCCCACCCTGCCTCTTCCTGCCCCCGCTCCACGCCTCTCCCCGCCCAATTCCGCCCCCTCCCCCGAGGTGCTAATTGGTGGGACACCGGCAGGCAGGAGGTGTTGTGGGAAGTTCTGACAGGGGGGGCTGCCAGTGGGTGCTCTGCACCCACCATTTTCTCCCCATGGGTGCTCCAGCCCTGGCCTATGGCTAGAGCCCTGGTTCTGAGACCTAGTCCCCTCGTGGGATCTCAGAGGCCAGGTGCCAGCCTAAGCATGAATGTCTACACTGCAATTTTAAGCCCTGTGAGCCTGAGTCAGCCACCATTGCCGTCGGTCTCTTATGGCAGTGTAGACACACCCTTAGACTCCTAAGTCCTTTTCAGAGTCTTTGTTTTCCTATGATACTGGGGAGCTAAGGGTCTGTGTCTCTGGCCATTGTTCCACTCCAGCCCATAGACTGGAGAAGCAGTTGCCTGAATGCTGCACTATACATTCAAACCCTAGCTGCAGATTGTGGATGGTAGATTTTGCTTTTTCAACCCCCATATTCTCAGCACCGGCATCTTTATAGAGATGCAGCCTGATGAGAAGTAGCACGGTCCAGTGGATGGGACACTGCACTGGGTTTCATGAGATCTGGATTCTACTCATGGCTCTACCTCAGACCTGCTTGTGCCTCTTTCCCTCCCCATGCCTCAGTTTCCCCTCCACCCCTTTAGACAGTCAGCTCTTTGGGGCAGGGATTCTCTCTCTCTGTTTATACAGGTTTCAGAGTAACAGCCGTGTTAGTCTGTATTCGCAAAAAGAAAAGGAGTACTTGTGGCACCTTAGAGACTAACCAATTTATTTGTTTATACAGTGCCTCGAACAATGGGGCTCCTATTTGAGTTGGCATGTCTCGGTGCTGCAGTAAGACAAACAATTATTAATAATATTTATCCTGGTACTCATGCTTTACAGGCAGCATCCAGAGCACCCATTTCTTTCTCTGTGTGTAGTCAGAATTAATTACGCACTTGAATTTTTTGCTTTGACCATAAAAAAGTAGAAAGTAGGCGTTTTCCTGATGACCATATGTGAAACTGTCTGGCGGAGTAAACACTGAGCAGTTTACAGGATCCCTATGTGAGGGGGTTCAATTGGGAGCAGCTTTTTGGTATGAAAATAAAATATTTGGAAAACACCTGTTCATAGCACCACGCTTGAAGCCCTTATCAGGAGTTGTCAACACTTGGGGTTTTTTACACTTGATGGTCTGAAAACAGGTACTGTTCTGTTCCTGCTGTTTTTCAGAGTAACAATAAAACAGTCGCTCTCTGACTGATCTGTGCAACATCTTCTCTCTCTCTCTCTGATCTTGCTGCAAGTGAATTAGCAAGACTCCCATGGGAGATGAAGGTGCTCCGCATGTTACAGGATCAGGCCCTTATGTACAATGTAAACAGCGGGGGCTAATTCAGCCCTGATTTAAGCACGTGCAACTCTATTTACTACAACAGAATAACCCTTGCTTACTAAAAGGGCTGGAATGGGCCCATGATCTGGATGGCCACACAGGAAGTAAGATACTACATGGACTGCAGCAGCATGCTGTTACAAGTTACCAGTGATAACAATTCCAGGTTTTACTCAAAGTGTCTCTTTTATTTCTCTGTCTTTCACAGGTTGGATTTATGCAACTCTCACACCTGTAGACTGCCTAGCATTTGCGGGACATTTTCTACATAGCCTAAGTGTTGAAATGCAGATGAGGTACTTTGTCTGTGTTTTCAGCTTTTCCTTATCAATTTTATCTGTACTTTGATTTCAGATTGAGGTTCTGTATTTGGAATCACTTGTTGATTTGGAGTCTGAAATTTTGGTTCAGGGCTAATTTTAGTTGTAAGGAACTTAAGATTTCCTTTACAGGTCAAACAGACCATGAATTGAGCCATACTCTCTTCTAAGAATTAGCTTGAATATTTAATATTTATGTCCCCGTGTATGTTATGGGCCAAATTAGAAGCAATGCAAAAGTTAGACACTTCCGCTTCCTTAAACTCATTTATACTTAGACTCCTCAAGACATTATTTACCCTCAATCTAATTAAATGCAAGGGTATCTAAGGGTATGTCTGCACTTTAATTGTTGGGTGAATTGCAGCATGTGTAGACACATCCAGGGTAGCTCCAATCTGGCTCAGTGGTGTATTGGTAAAAAAAGAAGTGGGTGAATTAACCTAAACTAAACTCCATGTTCCCCAAACAAGAAGTAAGTGGGTAAACTCTCTTTAGCCATATTTACCCTCAACTATGCTACCGATCCAGCTAGTTCACATTCCAATAGCGATGAGGCCACCACATCATGGACTTCAATGTGGGCTAGCTGCCCGAGTAATTACCCAGGGCTCCAAGTGGGCTTGTCACAGCCTGCTGTGAAGTGTGTGCTGCCATGGCTTCACTGTTATCAGTTTATGAGCTAGCTAGGTATGTCTACACATGCTGCATACATACTCCTTGGTTGCAGTGTAGACATACAGTACGTTGTTTTAATTTACGAATGAGGGCACCAGAAGAAAAGAGATATGTTACATTACTCTGGGAGATGTACCTTACAACACACTGTGCACCCTTCTGAATATGGCCTTCTCACTGCCCAGCTGGAGACCTTACCAAGTGTAAAGTAAAGGTCTGTTCTGAGGTCAGACAAATCGTGCAATGAGACCATTTTCCATCCTTAATTTACTGTTTCTTTTTACTTGTGTTATTTTAATGTTGTGTTTTAGGATTGATTCCAGCCTAGTTGATTAAAAAATACAAATCTGGGAAATAAATCCATAAGACGTTTGCATTCTAATGTGTCAATGAGCTATACGTTTCTTTTCACTTGTAATGCTGCTTGCAGTCCGTTACACTTAAAGTGCATTCTCGCTTTGTATCACAGAGCGTACGAAGTGGAAAGGCGGTTGAAAATTGTCAGCTTAACCCAGTTTCCAAACTTTGAAACAGCATGTTGGTATATGGGAAAGCATCTGCTGGAGACATTCAAAGGTAGAACACTGTTCCATGCACTCTGTTTTCTCAGCTGTGGTTATGTGAGGATAGAGTTATCATTATTTTCCGTTGATGTGCAAGCCAAAAGATGGACAGAGGCCAAAATCACCAGTTCTTGATCTAGCAGAATCAAGTCTTTGCATTTTACCTAAGATACCAACAGAAGGTAAAGATAAATGTGCTTAGCTGGTGTGTAGGGTAAAAAGAACATATACAAATTTGGAAAGTATTGACCTACTAGTACAACCATGTCAGGTCACCATCTTATAATACAGTAATTTCCCCCCAAATCATTTAAAGGGATTATTACATTTTGTAGTGCAGAGAGGAGCCTCTCTCTGTCTCTTATCTATGCTAAAGCCCCTAAACAGTTTAGCAGAGTTGAAGACAGAGCTGAGTTGTATCACAGGGCAACGGCATTGTAAGGTAGTATCGCTTTTCCAGAGAGTCTGAGTGCCAGATTTGCAGTCATGCCCTATGCTCTGCCAAATTCTGCCGACCTTAGATTGAGTAGTGACTCATTTCTCAAGTGCTCCATTGATTTTAACAGAACTACTTCTACAACAAGTTGCTAATTACCTGGTTGTAAGGGCAGCAGAATCCGGTCACTTGGTAATGTCAATGTGACCTTCACAGATGCTGAAAAGTAAAGTTTTCTGGGAGCACAAGAGCTGCTGAACTGGATTGCTTCAAAGTTAACAGACACATTATATACATAGATACCACACACACGTTTTATTTACTGTAATTATTTTGCTCTTCATCTTAATTTCTTGTCACAGCATCATCTGGCGAGAGAGAAACTCAGAGATTTTTTTAAATAAATAAAATAAATGGATATAATTTAAATAAGTGAGACCAAAGTTTCATTTGCATCTGGGCTTCAACGGGGTCTCCTTTTGACTTAGCTATGAACAAAACTATAATGAGCAGAATTATTTGGGGTACCTTATATCTCCAAAACCACAGATAAATTGTTTGCCTGATGAAAGCAGTGTGTTATGTTATAGGCATCTAATCTGTGGCAGCCCTCTTTAATGAAGTATTTTAGATACCAGTTTTTTTATTCAGAGTGACCAGTATCATTTAATTCTAGCAGAAATAAAAGAGAGCAGCAGATATACAAAGTAAGGGCCTGATTTAAAGTCCGCCAAAGTCAATGAGAGTCTGAGCACTAAGGTAAACCACAAACATTTGTGTCCTAAGACCAGTGTTTGTGGCTCCAAATACCCCCTCACCTTCCACCTCAGTGCACAGCTAGACATTTTTTAGTAAAGAATTTTAAATAGAAAATTGGCCACCATGGTTGAATATTATTGAATATTTCCTTTGCTTAGGTTTGCACAAAGCTGGGCAGCAGCCTCCTTCTCATTTAGTCCAAGGGGCAAAAATTCTTAATGGTGCTTTCAGGTCGTGGACTAAAAAACAGGTAGGAAAATGTCTTTTTTTTTTTTTTTTTTTAAATATCCTGTTTCATTGCTTTGTGTTGTAGCAAGAACAAAGAATAGGACAGAAGAACAAAAATAGCATCCATGTAGCAAAATCAGTAATCCTAGTTTCTTGGAGAGAGGGAGATAGGGGCATATATTATTAGTGGAGCAGCTGGTAGCCTGAGATACTAAAAGTCAGGCATATAATTATGTGCATAAAAGTGTCCCTGCTTCTTGAAAACCAAGATGAATTGACAACAAGCTGCACACCTTGGAGCTAGAGAAGACTTCAAAAGATTGGAGACCTTGCAGGCCCGAATTTCCTCTCAAATACACCAGTTGTAGCTCAACTGGCCTCTGTGAAGTTACTCTTGATTTACACCCGTGTTAAGTGAGAGGACAGGACCTTTAGCGAGGAGGCAGAACTCCGCTGTTCAATCACAAAACAGGAGCAATAGAAACACTAGCCCTGCAAGTTTCCTCAAATGGTATGGTCTGCTCATCCAGTGTAGCTCAGCCCTAATTGAGTGGAACCATTTGCAGAGGTACAAGGCTAGTTGGGTCTCCATACCCAGTCAGTCCTTGGCTTTTCTGATGAGTCTGCCAACTGTGCGTCACTTGTGCTGATGGTGTTGTGATGAAGTCTGCTGAGCAGAACTAACACCACCAGTCATTGCTCACAGGCCACCCAACAAATGTCAAATGGACATAACTTTCATAAACTACTGACCTGGTATATAGTTGAACCACATATAGAAGAAAAAGGCACCATATTCCATCACCAATCCTCTGACCTTTAGTTTCTAAGAGACACCGTGTTTAAAGGGGAGCCCCATTATGAGTGATCCCAGTAATCACTGTTTTCTTCTTTTAATCAGTCTAATTCCTTTTGGTTTTTAATTTTATGCATTTTTTTCCTTGATGTAACTCTTGAGGATAGGGTCAGAAATACATCGATGTAAACACTACTCGACACTTTCTGACATCTTTTCTTGGTTGCCGTAAATCAGAGCAGCTCCATTGAAGTCAATGGTGATACTCCCATTTACACCAGATAAACATCTGGCCTGGTACCTTCTTTTAGTGTAGGAGTTAAAGATATCTGCCATGCTGAAAACTTGTCAGGAGGAGAGTTTATGAGCGAGTGGTGCCTACAACCAATATACAGACTTGTACTGCAGTTACAAATGTCTCGGAAGAGGCTACTACAAATGATCCTGTCTGTCTGTGGAAGTCGTCTCAACAGGTGGGAACTTCAAGGGGAAGGGCACACCTCTTCTGAGAGAGATAAGGATGTGCACACGTTCTGGTGGTCCCCACAAGGACAAACGTTTAGAAAGATGCAGACTGAAAAGAAGAAGGGAGCGGGTCAATCCAGAGAAAAATGGCATTTCTAGCTCCAGTCAGTTTTTGTTTTCTTCTGCTTTGGCTTCTTGCTTCTAACTAAGAAAAGCAACAGGAATTGTAATCAGGAATGCATATTGTCAGAGCAACTCCGCCTCACTTATATTGCTGCAACTCATTAAAGTTCAGTTATGATTTCATGGATCACACTTAATATTGTTTCCATCTATAAATAGTTTATAAAGGGTTAATGAATGATTAATTGATGTCATAAGCATGTCACAGCCATGAGTAGTATGTTCGTATAGGTGATTATAAGCATATCAATAGATGTTATTAATGGTTTTAAGCCAGAGTAATAAGCCACCCTTTGATCTGTTGGATTCTATAATAATTCATTAATTTATGAAGCTGTCATTTACTCATTGATTTCTCCTTTATGAGCTATTTGGAACCTTAATATAAAGTGTGACTGTTTCATAATTGTTCCTACATAGAATTGATTTACTTGTTCCATGTCTCTTAAGATTAGCTGCTGAATTTCCAAGTACATCACAGTATACCTGTAGGGTCACAATTAGGGAACCTGCAGCAGGGATTGACAGATGTAGGGTCAGATTTTCAGACACTGGATTCTGTTCTGGCAGGGCGTGAGCAACGGAGGGCACAAGTTTGTACATAGAATTTAGATCAGTTAGATGTCTGTGCCTTATTTGCATCCAATCAGCCCACAGCAATGGAAGACTGTTTAATGCCGAGCTCAAACTTTGGTCCTTAGTAACCTGCAGTCCATGTCCTCTGGGTGTCAGAGCGGACTCTGGTTTGGAAGTTCTCTCCTCACTGTCACCCTATTTACTTGTCTACCAAAGTGGCTCTCAAACTTTCCAGACTACTGTACCCCTTTCAGGAATCTGATTTGTCTTGCGTACCCCCAGGTTTCACCTCACTTAAAAACTACTTGCTTACAAAATCAGACATAAAAATACAGAAGTGTCACAGCACGCTATTACTGAGAAATTGCTGACTTTCTTGTTTTTTACTATAAGTAAAAGAATAAGTATAAAATAAATCAATTGGAATATAAATATTGTACTTACATTTCAGCGTGAGACCTGAGCCTGGTTTTCACTTGCCAGCTTTGTCTGAAACCTGAGCCCCGGGCGGCAGGGCTGAAGCTTGCAACTTAGCTTTGTGGGGTCCCTGTGGTGCAGGGTCCTGGGAATTGACCTGCTCGCCACCCCCTAATGCCAGCCCTGCACTTGTGATCCCTCTAAACCTGTCCCATGACCCCCCAGGAACTGCAACCCCCAGGTTGAGAAACACTGATCTAGATGAGTTGAGTACCCCCTGGAAGACCTCTGAGTACCCTCAGGGGTATGTGTACCCCTGGTTGAGAACCACTGGTCAACCTGGTAAGCAGATATGAAATAGTGGGATAAAAAAAGTGCAAACAAGTAATAATTTATAGGGGTCTGGTGCAGTTATTGACATCAGAGCTTGGGATGTTATAACATGGCATGCGAGTACAAATTTCATTAGCTCCCAACCCACTCTGGCAGCAAGGGATTCACCTATTATCCTCAATTAAGATACTCTTCTGAGATGTTCTCTACCCAGTCTTCTGGGTGAAGCTGTAGGAAATGAACTTATCAAAAGAAGGCACAGAGGGAGGAAAGAAAGGAAGTGCTCCAGTTGTAAAATCACACATGCTATCTGAAAAGAACTATTGATTTTATAAGTAGTTATCCATAGGGAGCAGAAATAACACACTGACAGGGTAACAACATATTTGTCTCTTAGTTGAACTGAATCATCTAATGTTGTTTGTGTTACTTGAGCTGAACAAATAGAAAAAATATAGATGGGTCAGTTGACAAGTCTTTTGATTGTGTGTGAGAATAATATTAAGGGCGTGAAAACAGCACAGTGGCTGTGTTTTGTTTTAGGCTCTAGCCGACCATGAAGATGAACTCCCGGAACATTTTAAACCAGCACAACTTATCAAGGACCTTGCCAAAGAAATAAGATTAAGTGAGGTTTGTGTTCTTTCCATAATATTAACTACATCATGCATTTTTCGTAAACTGCAGCATAAAATAGAGGATTATTGAAATAAGTGAATTGCTTTCTCATTACATTCCTATCAGGAAAATTAATGGGAAATTTAGGAACAGTGATGTTAAGGCATTCTCTCTCCTGTGCTGATTGGCTGTTTGCTCCGAACCCCCTTTTACCCTGCCTCACAGTCTCTTCCTCAGCCTCAATCCACATCTGCTCCTCCTTATTCTCCTCTTTCCTCCCCTTTCTCTTCACATCTGCTCTGTTCTGTTCACCCATCTCACTTCACGTTCTCTTTAGCTAATCCCCACCTAACTCAATCCACAAAAAAATCATGGCACTAACATGAGGTTTGCCAAGATCCTATTGATCACTTTGCTCGTGTGTTACACCCCTTCCCTACCATACCATCTGCCCTCTCTGTTAAGATTGTAAGTTCTTCGAGGCAGGGCCTGTCTACTGCTACTCTGTTTGTACAGTGCCTAGCTCAACTGCTTCCTAGCCACTACTGGAATAAATATGATTAATAATAATAATAATAATAATAACGTGGCACCTAAACCTGTAGGGCATATACAGTATGCCTCTTAATACACATGCACACGACTCATTGATATTGGTGGGAGTCCTATAGTGGATCTAGAGTAATAGATGGCCCCGTATATTTAATGACATGCACTATAAAGCTCTCTCTTGTGTTTTGAGACTGACATTTAGTTTTGGTCCATCTCTTTCCTACCCATGCCTTAATCACTGACATTGAAATCTATCTCTTCCTTTTATGCCTTTTTACGTAAAATCAGAATGGCAACTTAAGCAGAAAATAATTTCTTTTTAATTAGTCAGAAGCTGTTAATTTTAACTGTGCAGCTTTTTACTGCTTATTTTACCTGGGGGTGTGAAACACGGTTCTGCTGCATTTATCACATCTGAATTAATTTGAAATGTATTCTGTTATGTCTGATTTGCATTTTAAACACAAGACCATCTAATTTCACAAGTTTTTTTTTTTTTCCCATATTGGAATTCTCTGGATAAAAGAAAAGGACAAATAAAATCCAGAGACCAAACTAAGGAAATATAAATAAATATCTGCATCTTAAAGTGTAGTCAATTAATATTAGCTGCTTTGATATGAAACCAGCCGTTCTGCTTATGGAAGTATAGCTTATGTGACTGGTCTTGTTTGGAACAAGCATCCCGATACTTTAGAAAATCAAATGCAGCTTTACAAATAAGCCTGATAATTAGTATGTTTATCCAGAGTGGCTGTGGATCACCCTACTGGAGTCCCTAGTGTGGTGCATTTTTTTTAATGGCACCCTTGTGCTACCATTCCTGAGTCCCCTGAGCACCAGTCCAGCCTCTGGTGAAGATCTAAGCACCTGTCATCTGTGCTGGCTGTCAGCAGCTCCCAGGGATTGTCCTGGGATGTGGGGATCAGCTGGTTGTAAGGGAACCCCAGCCTCATCCCTTTTACCTGGCCTCTGCACTGGCAGCTGGGAGGGAACAGTGCAGGAGCATGCTGGAAAGCTGTAGGCTCCCTGAGGATTCCCCTATGTTTCCTGTCCAGCCTGGGCATGAGCATCCTTATCTTTAGAAGAAGGTGTTAGGGTTTTATTTCCCATGAGGGAAGGGAGATGCTGCAGAATAACTAATGGTCTTGAAGTTGGAACTGAATATGTTTCCATGTTCTGCCAAACTACAGAATGCTTTCAAAGTCAACAAAACAGAAGTCAGTGCCAATGTGAAAGTAGAGGAAATCTGTCCTGTGGAGAAGCAGGAAGTGCCCTCGCCTGTACCAGAGACTCCCCCTCTGCCACCCGTAGAAAAAGTTCCGAAAAAAAAGACTCCAAAAGCTGTGAAAACCCCTAAGCCTCCTAAACCGCCCAAGCCCCCCAAACCTCCCAAACCGCCCAAAACTCCAAAAGTCAAGGGAGAAGGGAAGAAGAAAGGAAAGAAAGTGAAGGAAAGCCCGCCACCCGCCATTCCAAATCTGGACCTGCTGGAGGCGCACACGAAAGAGGCTTTGACAAAAATTGAAACGCCAAAGAAGGGGAAGGTGCGTTACATTGTTCTAACTACTCTCAGTGGTTTTTAAGTAGCATGGAGTAAGGCTTATGTTCAGGTGTCTCATGCAGGAAAAATTAAAATGCTGGCTCCATTGACGTAATGAGAGTTTTGCAATGGAACCCGGTTGCCCCCTACTTCACTTGATTGTTTAAATTTGGTCTACAAGAAATAATATTAAGGCTTTTAAAAAGTAGTTTGTATGCAGTTTGTGAAACATGCCTCTGAAGCAACAGATAGGAGATCAAAGCATTCTTTATAGTGACCTTGGCAAGGGAGAAACAAAAAAAAATTTCTAATTTCTCTGAGCATTAATATTTGATTGAAACTCCAGCTATTATGTCAAAAAGAATCAGTGTCAGTGTGATTTTTTCTTGGCATAAAATATTTTTCTTCCAGCCGATTCAGATATATGTTTATAAAGGGGGGGTAATTAACTTGGGAAAACTGGAGCTCATCTCCTTCCTGTTTAGGAGTATGTGGTGATTTTTTTACAGGCTGCAAAGAATGTTTTAAGTGTTCCCAATAAGGAAGTTGTTAATAAGCAAAATGAGGTGGAGAAATTTGAAATTCGAGAGCACAATAAGAGCAAAACGGAAGCCAAATGGAAATATAAGGTAAAGTCTGTTGTTAACTTGTGCTGCCACACTGGAGTACAGTAGCACACAGCAATGGGAGACACTAGAAATTGGGGAATAAGCGGTGTATCTTCTAGCAGAGTATAGTACAAACACTGTGCAAATATAGGGCCTAATCCCAGACTTGCTCATTGGTTTCACAAAGTGTTACTCCATTGAGTGCTTTGGTGTTACTCTTGATTTACAGAGGTGTAAGCACACAGAGAATCAGGCCCCCCAGAATTATGGAAAGATGTTAGAATAATTATGGAAAATTAAAGAAAGATTTTCAGTCAGGAAATAATTGTAGACAGCTCTGAATAATCTTACCCTTACTCTGTAGTCATGATTCTGATCTGAATTACATCGGTTTAAATCTGCGGTAACTCCAGTGAAATCAGTTGACTCACAATGGTGTCAAACCAGAGTGAGCGAGATCCAAATCAGGCCCTATATATTTAAAAGTTTGCCTCATTGAGACAGGCTCCTGAGATACATAATGTAGGTTGAATTCACTCCTGGAGTGCAGTAATCTTACTCCAGACCATTTTGGAGCAATACAAAGAATGTAGTCCATAATATTCATTCTGTAATAGCTGTAATAGTCTTAATTTCAGAGCATTCTACAGGCTGCTTATGAGAAAGGATTCATCATTCCTTAAAATGAAACAAAACTGTTGTTTCCTTACCCCCCATCCCTAACACACACACCCCTGCCAAAAATACATAAAAAAGCGAGAACGACTGTATCTTCCTGTTATTAGCAAAGAAGCTATTCTCATTGAGCCAGATCACCAAATGATGACTGGTGGTGGTAATGTATTTTAATATACACCAGTTGAGGATAGTGCCTATACAGTTTAGAAGAAAGCAAGGGCTGTATTTAAAAAACAAAACAAAACTCTAACTGATTTGATGTTAAATCCAAAAATATAAAACACGTAATGTAATAGTTATCATTGCTTCTACTGTACATTAAGGGGCAAATTCTGAAGCTTCCCTTCCAGAGGGAAAAGAAAGAATTATCGTATCCCATCCTTTTAAAAAAGGGTGCCTGTAACTGCCAAGTTGTTAGATGTGTGACGTGAAAGCACAGTCTCTAAGTGAGCAGGTCTCAGAGAGAGACTTGCAGCTTGAGGGAGCCAAAATAAAGATTGTTCCTTGTTGCTTTTGACTCCCTGGATCCAGGCAGATCCCAGTTTCCAAGTTTCTTCCATGTAACAAGTTCAAAATATTGATAATGGAGGGAGGTGTATCCCCCTTTTAAATTGTATTTGAAAACAGTTTATGACAATATCATTCTGCTACAAAGACAGCTTCTGCCAGTGGGTAACCCCAAGGAACTGTTTGGATTAATAGAACTGGTGCAATGAAATTAACTTGACTGTGATGTCTTTGATTCCTTAACATCCTCTACTGCTATTAGTCTGGAAAATATTAGTAAGGGGTAACAAATACATACTATGAATTTTTCACATGTCAAGGTGTGGTTAAAACCACTTCCCAAAAAATGAAACTAAGGAAATATTGTTGGAAATATTCTTCTTTGCAAGATCATGGACCCAATGCTTAGTTTTGCCCTTAGTTGTATGGGTACAGTTCTGATGGACTTGGTTGGGAAGAGCACCTGGGTAAAGGCCTGATTCAGTAATACACTTAAGCTAATGCTTAAAACCATCCCCATTTAGGATAACACTTAAGCACATGCTCATCTTTAGGCATGTGCTTAACAACCATTGTCTTAAAAGGGACTTAAGCATATGTTTAAAGTTAAGTGTGTGCTTCAGTGCTATCCTCAGCGGGGATGCTTTCCTGAATTGGGCCTAACTGAAGTGAAAACTAAACTAAACATTTCTGTGTGTGAGCGTGCGCGTACGCATATACATTCTGTGTATCCTAATTATTTAGTAATAAATACCAGAATTGGCTTAGAAATCTAAAAATATTGGTAACATATGAACCTAATTTTGTTGCTGTTTTCATGATTTGCAGAACAGTAAACCAGATTCATTATTAAAAATGGAAGAGGAACACAAATTGGAAAAGACACCTTTATCAGGAAATAAGGACAATAAATTTACATTTTCTTTCTCTAACAAGAAACTGCTTGGGTAAGTAAAAATATGGCAATTCGCTTTGAATTATAAAGAATAATTGTACTATATGGTTGGGAGGTTTTTAGACAGGGAAGTGACAAACTTGGCCTTATGTTCAAAAGTAAAAATTGTGCTTACGTTTTCATTATTTTTAAGTAAGTAAATTCTATTTACAATATGCTTAAAATATTTCTTAGTTATGAAATCAGATCCCTATTAGTGGTTTTACAGAGATAGTAGCAGTTCAGATTATTTTGTATGTTTATCGTTTTACATTGGTTCTCCAGTTAGAATGTGTCAATTATAAATCTCTATTACCAGTAGTTTATATCTTGGCTGTAAAAACTTGCCCTAGGCTAAAACATCAGTATTTTTTCATTCACCCTTTTTTTAATTTCACTTTTCTCAGTAATAAAAGAAAAAATCCCCTATTTTCTGGCATGGTTCTAATATTTACCTGGATTAAACAAGACCTGGATCACTGAATAAATAATACACATTTTTAAAAAAATATTTGAACTGGTAGTCTGTGCAGCATTTCACTGGAGCTGTTCCAGCCTTCGGGGCGTGTATCCTTATAGAGACACATTCTGCCTGATTCTGCACTGTGATCTATCCCTGTGTGCCATTTGTTGTTGACCGGGCGCAGCTGGGGTGCCCTTGTCTCTTCTTCTTTCCTCTCGCTTTGTCCTCCTCGTCTCCCTTTCTCTTCCTTTTTTGTCTCGTCCTCCTCCACAGTTCATTTTATTGCAGGCCTATTGGTTGAAATGAGAATGAGTCAGTGGTAGGTGTGGTTGGGACACTCCACCAGGTGTACTGGCTGCTACTGTTCTATTGGGGAAAATTTCCACTGTGGTCAATCCTGAGCAGTCCTGGCCACCAGCAATTCCCACTGGCTCATCAACATTTATCGATTATGAGGAAGTGCTTGTGTTGCTCCTGCCCTAAAGACTGCCCCCTCCATCTCAACAGCTGAGAGAAACTGGCACGCCTGCTAATGGAAACCACATCTGAGTGCTTGTTAGTTGCTCTATTCCCAATCCAGGCAGAGCACGCTCATCTCTAGAATTTGATCTGACAAAGTCCAGATTTATTGGCCATAATGGCAATTTGAAAGGTTTATCTGTTCATTCTGGCAGATGCTTGAGGATGGTGCCTTAACTGGACTAAGCTTTAATTGCAGCTGGAGGGATATTTTTCTGAGTTGACTTCTTGTCAGTTTGAGTTTTTATTTTATACTGTATCTACGTATCCCCGGAGACTAGGCTGGGCACATTCTACATAAATCAACTGAAAATGGAATACATGGATTTCATGTAGTGTGTGTGTATTACATATGTATTGATTGTATTATGACCTAGATCCTCGGAAGGTACAAACCAATTGAAGTCAACGTAGTGCTCATTTGAAGTCAGTGGAACAACTCCGATTCGCACTAGTTGAGGATCTGGTCCTGTGAAACCTGTGCAAAACAATACACATGCAAACCAATGTGAACTGGCACTCTATCTTTAAAACTACCAAGCTCTGATTCCCTACATTTATAAGAAATGTTACCTTGATATGTGGCTGAGTGTCTCCTTGATACGCTTTCCGTGTGAAAATGTTATCATTTCAGATTTTATAATACTTGTCTCTATAGTTCCAAGGGAGTCAAATCCCAGTTGAATCCTGGTGTGTTTGGGTCACTGCAAAATTTTAAAGAAGATAAAACAAAACCTGTGCGAGATGAATATGAGTATGTGTCAGATGATGGCGAACTGAAAATTGACGAATTTCCAATTAGAAGAAAGAAAAACACTACAAAGAGAGATTTACCTTGTAAGACTGCATCCTGTTTTGTCTATATCTGTGCAATTAAATTGTATCCAGTTCTTCAAAACTACTTTTGAAAGTTATTATAAGTTTTACAATAAATAAAGAACATGTACATATTACTTGCAGCACAAGATTTAAAATAAATACAATGGACTCAAATTGTATTCTGAGGCCGTACAGGTTGTTTCTGGAGTTAGTGAAAGGTCTGTCTCAACTTTAACAGGTTTGGTTTTTTTTTTCAGTTTTATCAGATAAAAAAGAAACGCTACAGCACACACCAGTTAAGAAGCCAAAGGTGGAGTCAGTATTGTATAAGGTATTCTATTATTATTGTACCTTTCCCTGTTGTATCTGTGTGCCATTCCACACATTTAGAAATACGTTAAGGGCTTGATCCTATGGGGTGCTAAGTCCTCTGACCTTGATCCACTTAAACACATGTGAGCACTGAGTAGGCTCAATGAAATAGTCATTGAATTACGTTTGCAACCACTCTAAAGCCACTTCATGGTGCCAGAAAGGTGTAAAAGGGCCTTACTGTAAATGAGAATCAGACCCTTAATGTACTAAAGACTTTGTCGATTTATTTGTATCCAACTGTAATGTCTTTTCATTTAGTTAACTAGAGGTGACCTGCCATGTTTGCAGTGGATTGCATTAATATATTGTAGCAGATCGGGGTTAGTTGTTACCGTGGCTTGATTGCTCATATATTGTCCTCTGCCGTAGTGAATGTAAATGGAGTCTAGGACCTGTCAAGCATTCTGCAGAATTTTATTGTTAGACACCTCTCCACCCAAATGAGTTGTATGGCTCAATTCTCTTGCCACAGGACACCAGGAACTCCCAGTGGTGGCAGGGTTGGGCACCTCATGATAGGCTGGCACAGCTGTTGCGGATGTATGCTCGGTCTGTGTGGGGAAGGAAGATGGCACGTGTCACTCACAGCAATCCTCTTGACAATTAAGAAGCAGAGTTAGTGGACTGCAAGGATAGTCCTGTCCATTCTTCCTTATCCAGACTGATGGTATCTGCACTGCGGGAAATGAAGACTGGAGTAAAATAAGGGGACTGGAAGGTTTTCAGGGAGTTTAGGGGCAGGGCTGGTTGGGGAGAAGAAAAGACAACGAAATGAACAGGAAATAGTTTTACAGGAACAAAATGTTGTCACTTTCCTTCCCTTTCACTGGGAAAAGGGAAGTAATACAAAACAGAGACATGGCCAGGAATGATGGACAACTTTGTAAGCAGGTAACAACGAGAGAAGGAGACAGAACATGAAGGCTCACGTCCTCCTCTGGAGGGTGAGTGTGACCCGCTCGGCAGTGCTCACACCCGCACTGCATTGCTGGCTCTGTTCCAGGCCTGTGGCAGTAAATGAGCTTCTTCATTTTCTTTGGGCACTGGTCAGCACTAATCCATTTCTACACAGTACGTTCAACAAGTTACTCTTAAAGTAATGTGAGCAGTGTGTTAGCATAGTTGGTGTTTTATATTACAGGATGCCCATGATTCCTATTACATGGTAACTAAAGGCTTTATTTACTGAGTACATAAGAGGAACTGTCTTTCCTTATAGTCTCTCTCACATCTATAATGCCCCCAATTCAGCAGGACACTTAGGTTCATACTTAATGTTAAAACACTTGAGCACTCTCACTGACTGCCGTGGGACTGTTTATGGTCGGAGTTCAGGAAAGCTCTTCAGCACATGCATTGGTCCATTCCTATTCAGGATAACGTTTAAGCACATGTTTAGCGTTAAATAGGGGACAATTTGCATGCATATTATATGATTTGAATCACTTGCAACAAGCAAGGTAGACGGTTGACATAAACTGTATATATCCAAGACATTCAGATTTCATGAATAGCGTAGACTTCTTAAACTGTGTTTGGGGAGACATGATGGCTCAAGGATATTTAAGGGCAATCAGAACTTCTCACCTGTACATTCATTCATGGTTACAGTCTAGTAGTGACTCAACATTGTTACCATTAGAGCTGAGCGAGTAATTGATTTTTTTGGTTCAGTGTTTGAACTGGAAGAAAATTGTTTAATTTCAAACCAAAACTGAATTTTTTCAAAATGAAATGTCAAAATGAACCATTTTGACTTTAAAAAAAAAAATCTTAATTTTTTATTTTCCCAAAACCATCGGCCGAATTCAGCTTGAATTCATGAACGGTTTCAGTTGCCCCAAAACTTCATTTTTTGGCAAATTTACTATTTGACTGAAAAAAATTCTCCAAGCTCTCATTCCCATCTGATGTGTCTGCCTGATTGATGTGAAATGAGGTGACGGTCGGTCTCAGTGCAGATGCTAGAGCACAAATGTTCATAATACATAACCAGCACCATAATTGGTAGAAATTGGTATCCTTTCTTGGTGGTCTTAGCAGTGACACAAAGGACTGGATAGGCCTGAGGAAAGAACCCTCTCTAACTTGGGGGCAGGGATGCCATCAGAAGAAGAGTGAGGCACATTGGAAAGATAGCGTGGGGAAGCTTGAAGTGGTGTTGCCTAGATGATAGATAAATAGGGGACTTCCATAGGTCTGGCACTCCTCAGAAGTATTAAATTGACTCTGAAAAGATAATATAACAACAAAGCTGTAAAGAGACCCATTCAAACTGTGCCCCTAACTTTTATGGGGAAAGCAAAGTAACAGTTCTGTTCTCAAGTTTTGGGGGAACAAAAAGACTAGCGTCATGCTGCAAAACTATTTGACAGCTTGCTGACTAATGTAGCTTGTTTCAGTTTTTTTTGAGCTTTTACCTTGCTTTGACAGAGTGATGAGTCATCAGATGAAGATTCGCTTCACATTGACACAGAGGCAAAGCCAGGCCGCAACTCCAAAGTGAAGAAAGAGAGTGGAAGTTCGGCAGGAATTCTAGATCTTTTGCAGGCGAGCAAGGAAGTTGGGGGTTTAGAGTACAACACCAACAGGTAGGCACACCTGGCTGATGATCCCTCTCTTAAAGCAAAATAATGCTCTGTTTCATGTGTGCAGCTAACACAGGATTTTGCAATTTAGTAATAACTTTTTTTCCAGTAAACTAGCTCCTTCTATGTCCCAGGCCCTGGAGGTGAGCAGGTGGAAAAGGTCCTGGTGGTATAATTATAAAATTAGAGGCATTCCCAGCTGTAAATGCTGAAAATCCACCAAAGCAATAACAATAAAGTTGATGATTCATTCAAAAGGAGACAGCTCAGTTAATGCAGCTTGAGGACAACATTAATTTATGCACCAAACAACTTGCATTCATTTTATAATGCTTGGTACGGTCCACACAATCCGGATTATTGGGTGTTCGGAAAAAGAAAAAATTCAGGAAGCAACAAATGGCTGTAAGAAGTAATTTCTCTAGAGGACATTAAGCATAAAATGGGTCTTCATGGATCAGTTTGGGGCCTTGCTCATCTACAATGCTGTATGTGTGCTGGAAATGTTTTAGCGGAGGCTATTATAAGTGGGATATCACATGTGATGCCAAAATTGTTGAGGTCTGGCTAATAGTGAGAAATGCTGGGAGGTTTTTTACACTAGTGTTAAGCCCCAAACTGGAAACTATTAACGGGAAAGGAAAATATTTTACAAATTAGAGCTGCAAAATGTGGATCCAAATCACAAATACCCCAGACTTACGGGCTGTTTGGACCTGGGACTTTAGTTCAGGCCCATCTCAATTAAAACATACATATTAAATATCCCAAATCAATGCAAGGCAAAATTGATCCATCCCCTGGTCCAGCAAGGTATCTAAATGCATGCCTAATCTCAGCATGTGAGTAATCCTATTTAAATTAATGGGACTGCTCACATACTTAATACCTGCTGGATCTGGTCCACTGTGAGCTCAGCCCAAGGAACATCTCTCAGGATAGTGCCTTACAGGAGAGCCACAACTACTAGTGATTTTGGGGTGAAGTAGCAGATGCAAAGTGCTGTACCTGCTCCCCAGTGAATCCATGGTCCTGGACAGGCTGTATTTCCCCTCTAATGGAAACCACAGAAATTCACCATGGTGATCTTCTCTGACACAGACTGTCTGTGTCCTACCTTTGTGGGGCCTCCCTGCTTTGGCTCCCCTGCAGAGCAGCCCTGTTCATCAGCTTTCGGCCCCAGTGAGCCTGCTTGAGCAGATACAGGCTCTGGGTCTCCAGCCCATTGAGATCAGGAGGAGGCCCATCTCTTCACTCTACCCTGGTACGGTCCACTTCCTCATGTCCTTTAAAAAGAGCAAAACAAATACCTCCCATGTACATGTCAGAACAATTTCCCCTTCTTGCTTTCTCTTCTCTCCCATCATCTGTATGATCATCCATCTAATTGGGGTCCAGCCTTACTTGTCTTACTCACAATTGCAGTCCCACTGAGTAAAGAAACCAAAATCTGGCCCTTCATTTCTAACCTCTTTTTCAGCAAAGGCTATGTCTGTAAAAGGCCATGCTGTCTAGGGCCTACAACCTAGGTGAAGGACCTGGGGTGCTGTACAAATAAAAAAAAAATCCGTGAATGCCTAGCACCTTGCAGGAATATGTTCTGTTTAGCTGGTACTGACATCATCTTACGTTTTCAGCAGAGAAACAGAAACTTGGACTCACATCTTGTTACGGACATAAAGAGAGAACAGCTTTACTAGTGTTTTATTTAAAAATGACCATGTATTTGTAATTATTAACCAAACCACTGTACTGTGATAGTGATTTGGAGTCTTGCACGCATTTTTAAAAATAATTCTGTAAAAGGCTTAATAGTTCTTTTTTTATAGGCCCTGGACTGGAACTGAGGTGACCTGGTTTCAGTGCCTGGCTCTGTCACGGACTCCCATTGTGACTTTGGTCAAGTCATTCAATTTCTCTGTGCCTCCATTTCCCATCTGTAAAATAGGGATGATGATGATTCCTTTCTCCTGTCCTTTATCTGTCTTGTCTGCTTAGACTAGGGTGACCAGACAGCAAGTGTGAAAAATCGGGACGGGGTGGGGAGTAATAGGAGCCTATATAAGACAAAGCCCCAAATATCAGGACTGTCCCTATCAAATTGAGACATCTGGTCACCCTAGCTTAGACTGTAAGGTCTTCAGGGCAATGGCTGTCTATTAACATGTGTTTCTGCAGTGCCTAGCACAATGGAGCTCTGGGGCATCTAGGTTCTACGGTAACACAAATAATAATGACAATGTAAATAAATGTAAAAGTGCAATTCTGGGAGAATGTACCAAAAACAAGGAGTGCATGATAAATGGAGTTCTTTCCTGTAAAAGCCTTAAGGGGGTTAGAGAACAGTCCTGCACAACTTATTCAGGCAATGTCTGCTGAAATCAGCGTGAGTTTATGCCTGCTTAAAAGGAGTGTACAATCTGATTTTAGTATGGGAGAATCCAGGAAGCTATTATCCCAGATGGCTTCCTTCAGTAAACAGGATTTACTGACCCCGGGAAAGAAAGCAAATCAAAATAAGTAGTTAGGATTCAAGGATGCTTAACAGTTGTAATTAACAGGGATACAGGGACTACGCAGAAAAAACCCCTGAACACTGTCATTCAAGGCAGACTTGATGATGATGATGTAATTAATAGAGTGAAACCCGGTCTAGAGGCCACCTTTGGTAGGCAACCTCCAGTCTTAAGAGACCACTCCAATGTGTATTGCAGACTGTATTGAGTACCCTTTGCTTCACGTCTACTAGAGGACCAATTTATCAGTAACCCTTAGGAGCAGCAGATCTCGATGTGCTTTACAAAGGAGCGCAGTATCATTAGCCCCATTTTACAGATTAAGCAATGAATTTTTGTCAGCTATTCAAAACAAGTTTCACTCTCTTCACAATTCACAAAGCTTATTCGTTGTGTGTGACAGACGCTAACCACAGTATTCTGTAAGCACAAAGCACAAAGGTTGGAAATGTCAGCTGTGAGGCTGGATCATTGGGAAGCCCTCCGGCTGTATCGTTGTCGGTCTGCAGCAGCCATTCTCTTTCCAGCCCTCCCGCCAATTCCATGTTGTCCCAGGATCCATGATGGAGTAATTATGGTTGAACATGACATGGGGCTTTTGGGAGAGCTGGGAGGGAGCGTGGAGCTCAGAAGGTGCAGGTGATCGGTGCTGTCACGGTTACCCTCTCCTTCTGTCCACTGGGCGTTTCATTTTTCTTGACACAGTTGCTAAACTGCAGTTTGCAGTTATGACAGGGCCTTGGTAGAGTGGAATGAGCTCTTTCCCTGGGAGGTTCCAAAGAAGAAGAAGAAACTATCTATCCATTAAGAAACTCTGGAAATTAAGAGCAATGCAGAGAATTCCAACAGAGGTGCTTCACACCCAGTAGTGAACGTTGCCAAGTGAAACTGTAGCAGCAAATAGTATCAGTGAGATTAAAAGAGAACTGGTTTGCTTTGTGATGAGACAGGATTGAAGTGTAGAGTGCCAAGAAAGGCAGTAGAGGTGCAGATAAACCTGAAGGAGGGAGACTTGCAGAGCTAAAGGAGTTTTTACCCTTCAGGAATTCATTATGTGACTGCTTACTCTGCCATTCATTCAGACAGCTGTGTGAGATATAGGAAATGAACTCTGATACAGAAGAGCTCTTTGGAAATTACTCTTGCTGTGATACATGTATCATTTAAACTCCTTTGACATCTTTTCAGTGTTTTGGGGGAAACCTTGTCACTTGACTGACCCGAATGAAATTTGCAGACTCTCATCTTAACACTTCAACATCAGTGCAGCTCCAGGGATGCTGGCAGTGGTGGGCTACTACTGTAGACAAGGCTCAGAGCAAGGCTACACAGTTGTAAAAATGCCAGAACTGTGTGTATACAAGGTCTGTTTTTTCAGTGGGGGGCGGGGGAAGAAGAGGGTGTTAAGGGGAAGAGGAAGGGAGCCTAGATTAGAGGAGGCTGGTATCTCTTAGAGAACAGACCTAGTCTTAGCTAATTGCTACTTTTGCCTAGGTGGAGGCAATTATTGCTTACCATCCGCTAAAGACTGTTTTTGCAGAGTTGAGTAACAACCTTTTAAAAGACATGTCTTAAGAGATGGACCTGAGTCACAGAGTTTGGATCTGATTCCTGATCTGCACTTTTCCAGAGTTTGGTTTGGACCCATCTCTAATTCCTTTACAATTAGTAATAAATATACACCTTTTAACCTATAACTTCTTTTCTTCTTGCTCTTCCCCTCAAAGCCATCTCATATCTAAATGCTACATCAGAATTCATCATCAGATTAGAGAACAACTTTTGTTAATTCCATTTTCACCTAACACCCTGATGTAGTTTAGTCGTCTTTTTCATATTTACATTTAAGTTTCTCAAAATTATTAAATGCATTCTACTGAGAGGGGGGGCATAACGTTACAAGACTTGCTTACAGCTGTGTTTGCAGTGGGATGTGACAACAGAATAGCGTCTATAAAACATAAGAATTATTAAAATTTGGTTCAGCCATTTTTGTTACATTGGGTGTATGACAGATAATGAGGCTGGCTGCTTGTTTGCAATGTATCAAACAGAAACGTTTGTGAAAGTTACAATAATCCTCAAAGACTCTGGCATTGATGCTATTCCATTGACTTCAATGGGTCACAAAGCCGTTCAATAACAGAATAGGAGTTAGCCCTCTCATTTTTCCTCCCCTTTTACCAGGCACTGTATCCAGTGCATTCATAGCCTTTATGGCTTCTGAAATCTAAGTCTAAAATGCAGTAATAACTAAATTCTGCATGAATTACTATACTGTGTGTTGTAACTTCGTGGGAACATGTCGTATCACTTTTGGCTCTTATATAAACAATTGGGGTTTGGTAGTGTGGGTGTAAGCTTGAGTGAAAAAAGCTCCTGCCTAATGAAATTATTATATTTCATTTCATAATCACTCATTTTTTATTAAATATATATAAACATGCTTTTTTTTTAATAAGAAAAACTCCTGAATATACACACATA